AATTAAAGGTGTGCACCATCATGCCCAACTCCAAGTCTAAATTCTTACATTTTTTCCCCTTATTTAGTTTTTATTCATAACCATAACTTAATTCTGCAATCTGTCTAGACTTGGAAGGAAATGAGGAAAATATGGAACCCCAAAATCTTCAGTGATAGCAGAGATTATAGGGTACTGTGAGCAGATGGGACGGGAATCTTCTCCTGAGCTACAGAAGGAATGATCTGGTGGGTAAAGATATCTATAGCCCAAAAGAATTAGAGTTGTCCACAGTCGGTAATGGTGATCTTGCTGGTCTTGCCATCCTGGACCAGAAGGCTCCATGGCGTCCATGATACTCATGCCTTCTTTCATCTTCCCAAGACCACATGTTTGCCATCCAGTCACTTAGTCTTGGTGGCGCAGAGAGGAGACCTGGGAACCACTTTTGTTTGGTCCAGCATTTGCCGTGGACAAGATGCCAGGACCTGTGTGGTTCAGGATGGTGTTCTCATCTTCAGATCTCTCTCCACAGACGGACGGACCTGCCACCAGTGCCATTACGGCATGTGAAGTCACCACCCTGGCACGCGAATCCTGGCATAATCCTGCGACAGGGGGAACCCTTATACCCCAATCCTTTCTCTCCAATGTTCAGACTGAACTTTCAGCTCAAAGAAGACGTGGCCCAAGGGTTCTCGTGAGGAAGAGGGTCATTTGCATAAAGTCAATGTAAACCCAGACAGGGACCAACATCATTTTGTAAAACTTCAAGAGGAGATAGATCACCTAATCTGCAGCCAGTCTCTGTTCTTCCCACCCTTCCTTCTCGCCCACTTCCTCCTCTGGGTGTCAGCCTCAGAGTAGATTTTTGTGATGATCTGAGGCTGTGGGGTTACAACATGACTGTGTATGTCAACCAGGATGGGAAGGTACTATTTGAGTATGGTGAGGTGTGACCAGAGACCTGGCTCACATCAGGATGTGGGAAGCAGGATTCAGTGAAGAAATGTCGCAGTGTTTGGTTTGTTCAAGGAGGGACAGCGCTGTGTCGATCGGCTTTTTTCTCCCACTGTACTAGACGCAGGCTACTCATGAGGGAGAAAGAGGCTGATTTAGCTTGTGTTGGGCAGTTTGAAGTTCTAATCACACAGCCTGGTTGCATGGCAAGGGCCTCCTGGGCGGCAGCATTTTGTGGTAAGAAAGTCAACAGCAGACGCTAGAACAAGGAGTTACACTGTGACCCAGAGAAGAAACACTTGTGAGTCCCACCATCTCTTCTGAGAAAAGGCCCCAGTGACCTACAGATCTCTCACTAGGACCCATTTCCCAACAGCACCGCTTTAGAGATCCAGTTTTCAACCCATGAAGCTTCAGAGAAACCATGTCAGGACCAGAACACAAGGCCTGGAGGTGCCTTTCCACTCCTGAGATTGCAGAGTGCAAATGGGGTAGGGAAGGGAGCTGTAGAACGTAAATGAAAGATGGCGGTTTGGGTTATGTTAGACAGGGTGGGGTATGGAGGAGGAAACACACACACACACACACACACAGAGAGAGAGAGAGAGAGAGAGAGAGAGAGAGAGAGAGAGAGAGAGAGAAACAGAGAGAGTTGGGAGAAGAGAGGAAGGAAGGAGAGAAAGGAGGAAATCCTGAGACCCTTGAGTTGGGGTCCAGCAGCCTTGTCTTCCCATAGTAGAAGACTTAAGAGTGGGCAGAAATGAACTGACCTACCCAGTGGTGCTAAGATCAGAAGAACAAGGCTAGATGGACGTAGCGGCACATGCTTTTAACCCTACTACTTGGGAGGCAGAGGCAGCGAGGCAGGCAAACCTTTGTGAGTTTATATCACTATATCACTATATCACTAGTTCGACACCAGCCAGCCAGGGCTTCAGAGTGTTAAAGCACAGGCCTAGGTGAGGTTAGCAACAGCCGAAGCTGGAGTAAGAAAGAACAACAAAGAATAGTGCAATAGCAATATCTAGGGTAGCCAAGAAGAAGAACGGACCAGTATGTCTGTCAAGCCATGAATGTCCCTATGGTGTGGGAAGTCCTTCTGTATATGTGTTGCTTTTATTGGTTAATAAAGAAGCTGCTTTAGGCCAACAGCTTAACAGAATGTAGCCAGGCTGGAAGAGATATATATAGAGAGAGTAGGCAGAGTCAGGGAGACACCATGTAGCTGCAGCCAGGGACAGATGCAAACCTTGCTGGTAAGCCACAGCCACGTGGTGATACACAGATTAATAGAAATGGGTTAATTCAAGGTATAAGAGCTAGCTAGCAATATGCTTAAAGCTATTGGCCAAGCAGTATTATAAATAATATAGTTTCTGAGTGATTATTTCGTGGTCTGGGCAGCCGGGAATGAGCAAGCGGCTTCCGCCAACACTTCTCTATAATAGGATAATAGATAACAAAATGAGTGAGGTGCCTGCCCCACAGGGATTAAATTTGAAAACGTGATACTAAATGGAAGACGTCAAACACATATGATCCTGGGACGTGACAACCAGCATAGGTGAATTCATGGAGACAGAGGGGTGGTTGCACAGACAGTGGCTGAGGCTGGGGACTTTCTTTTCAGGGCCATACAGGCGCCCTGAAGTTGACTATGGGGGTGATAGCTCAGCTGAAAAATGTGAAAGTCAATACATTTCACACCTTAAATAGATGAACTACATGGTACATGGATACAGCTCAGCAAAGCTGCTATTCCTCTGGGCTGGACTCTACCGTGGAAAAGCGTGAGTGGGGGCTCTTGTCTGCCCAGGAGTGGTCGTGAATGTCTTCTAGCTCACTAGTAACCAGGCGGCTGCTCGTTCACTTTTGCAGTGAATGCCAGTCCAGCAGAGACAGAGGAGATGACCTTCTGCAGTACAAATCTTGTCTGTTCTCGCTGAGTACCGCATGCAGCAGAAAGGAGGCTAGCTGCCTCTCCTGCATCACGCTGGCCTACAGCTCAGAGAAAAGGACCAAGGGTTTTCTGTCTGAGTTTCATGCACAAGGCAGACATGTTGTGTAAAGCAGACACCACGAGTCAATGATCAGAAAAGGTCAATGTTAGCTGGGTGTTGGGATGCACACCTTTGATCCCTGCACTCGGGAGGCAGAGGCAGGCAGATCTCTGTGAGTTCAAAGCCTGCCTGGTCTACATAATGAGTTTCAGGAAAGTCAGAGATACGTAGTGAGACCCTGTCTTGAAACACCCCCCCCAAATAAATAAATAGAATAAAGAGAGAGAGAGAAAGGGAGGGAGTTAGGGAGGGATGGCTAGATAGGTAGGTAGATGGACGAATAGGTAGGTAGATGGATGGATGGATGGATGGATGGATGGGAGGGCGCATGAAAACAGTCACAAACGGGTATAAAATATTTCATGTTAGTAGTATCTTTTTTTTTTTTAAAGATTTATTTATTTATTATGTACACAGTGTTCAGCCTCCATGCCTGCAGGCCAGAAGAGGGCACCAGATCTCATTATAGATGGCTGTGAGCTACCATATGGTTGCTGGGAATTGAACTCAGGACCTCTGGAAGAGCAGTCAGTGCTCTTAACCTCTGAGCCATCTCCCCAGCCCATGTTAGTAGTATCTTTCTTGAATTTGTCTCCTCTTAAAAGTGAAGTTTTCCTTCCTGCACATGCTGTCAGAAATCTGGGTGCTGGAAAGACCCTCAGCCTTTCTCCTCCCACAACAGGGGCTGGGTAAACCTGCCAAAAAGCATTGCTTCTGCATCCTGCCTCTGAGCCACAGCTGTAGCCGAGCTGGCGGGCCTGCAGCTGCAGGAACCCAGAGCCTGCGTTCCTCTTAGCTATAGGCCAGAAAGTCAGCAACATGGGATGGTATGGAGAGAGGCGTGTGGGAGACAGAGCCATTCAGCTATGCCGGGGAGAAACAATGGGTTTCACAGGCAGGCTGTCCAGTTGAGCTTGCCTGCCAAGCCCTTTCCATGGCACAACCCCCAATTTTAGAAGACTCAAGCTGTAAAGACTTTGGACAAGGGCGTCTGGTTCAGGTCATGCACAGTAAGAAAGAACTCATCCACAGAAGATTGAAGCTTCACTTCTCTGTAGGTGGGTGGGGAAGACAAGCAATGGGGGGAAAAAGAGCAGGCTCATTTGTCCACAGGCCATTGTGCGTCGTGGGATTCCACACAGTGCCACCAGTGTCCTCAGTCACCTTGGGAATCCTGATGTTCTACTATCTATCATAGATCAGGAGACAGGATGCTAAGCCGTCCAAGGTTGCATACTTGTAAGTGGCAGAGTTAAGCTTTGAACCCGGGTCTTTCTGTTTCTTGAGCCCATCTTCTTACGTTATCCTTACATCGGCTTGTGATAGATAAAGAGTCTGTTCTGCTTGGAGGGTTTTGTGCAAATCTTTGTAATCCTTCTGAAGAGTACCATTTAAATGCAAATATTAAGGTGAATTTTTAGAGGTAATGTTTTGAATGCGAGATGTCTTTCACCACAGTTTCATGGGTTTTTAATACTGGGTCCCCAGCTGGGGGTGCTGTTTTGTGAAGCTGGGATTCCCTTTGCACACGGGGTCTAGCTGGCAGACATAGGGCCATAGATGCAGGACTCGTAAGTCATATCTTGGTTGGGTTCCTGCCTGAGCTCTTCGCTACCTAGTCCACTGAGACGTAATCAAGCTGCCTCACTCACTCACTGGTCCCCTGCCTCAGCACTACCCTGCCTTGATCATAGTGGGCCATGTCCTTTCAAACTGCAAGCCAGAGTAAGTAAACCTTCCTTCTTCCAACTTGATCTTTTTGGGGTGTTCGATCACAGCGGTGGGAAAAGTAGCTAACACAGGCCTGGATGGACTAGTGTTCTTTTGGGCTCTGTGGTGGCTGGTGGGTTTGAGCCCTAATGACCCCCAACCCCACCCCATAGCTGGCAGAGTCTGTTGCTCTGGAATGCGGTTTCTGAATAAATGGGAAGCAGGTGTGTCACACGCAGCGCGTTTTTGAAGGAGACGGCTACCACAGAAAACACCCCGCAGCGCCTGATTTTCTTCCGCAGTGAAATGGAAGAGCGACTTCAACGTTCCTTAGTGACCTGTCTTCAGGAAACAGACACGGAGCCACCCACGGCGAGAACAAAGAGCGCTGTGTCTGCGGACACAGGTGTTCGTGCAGCCGCAAGTGAACCTGGACGGCTGGGAGACCCGTGCTCCCCTCCCACCCCTAACCCCCCCTGCACGCGGCTCCGTTGCTCTGCTTGGCTTTGTGCGTTAACTGCCGAACTGCGGAACTGCGCATCTGCCAGAGCCCCTGGTTGGCACCGGAGCGGTGTGCTGCTTCAGAGGATTTCCTCCTGAAGTCTGTAGAGAGGTCTGAAGGGCATGTAATCCGAATTCCTCCTGCGTGCCCCAGGATCTCTGAGGCTTGGTGAGTCAAGGAGCAATTAAAACAGCGTTTCTCCTCCTCTGCCTCCAAGAGTGCCTATCAATGCTCGACAGGCTAGGGTGCTGGGTCTGAGGAACCCAACGTGGGTACTGGTCATAGCTTCCTTTCTAGTGCTGTGATAAAAACATTTTGACCGAAAGCAACTTAGAGGAGAAACGGGTTTATTTGCCTTACAGTTCCAGGTTACAGTCTGCCATCGAGAAAGATCAGGGCAAGATCAAGCAGAAACTGGAAGCAGAAACCATGGAGGATGAGGCTGGAAAGATGGCTGACTGGTTAAGAGCACTAATTGTTCTTTCAGAGGACCCAGGTTCAAGTCCCAGCACCATATGATGGCTCCTCTCCACCTGAAACTCCAGTTCTAGAGGACTGGATGCCCTTTTCTGCTCCTTGGGATCCTATACTCCTGCAGGGCACTTAAACTCACACAAGCACACACACATTAAAAACAAAAGGCAAACACACAACCGCTACGGAGGGATGCTGCTTGCTGTTCTTCCTTGCAGGCTCCTGCTTAGCTAGTTTTCCCACATATTCTAGGGCCACCAGCCCAGGGAATGGCGCCACCCACAGTGGGCTGGGCCCTATAACATCAATCAACAATCAAGACAATCCCCCACTAGGCTCAGGCCCATCTGATCTAAGGACTCCTTCAGAAAAGAGGTTCTCGGGTGACTCTAGGCTGTGTCATCCTGGGGGTTACAGTCGAGTAGGACAGACGTGGGGGTTCATTTAAATTCTTTCCCATAGATGGCCTCCATTAGCCATCAAATATGTATTTCCCCCCAAACTGATCCTATTTCCAGGTGACACACAGCAGAGATGTAAAAGATCTGTTTACCTCCTTATGCCCAGCGCCTTGCCTATGGCAACTCAGGTAACACTTGTTGAAGGGGCTGGGGAGGTGGCTCAGTGTAGTATGAGCTGCATGCTGCTTCCCTGCCTGGCTCCCGGCCACCGGCTAGCTTTACCCGAAATAATTACACGGAAACTGTATTCATTTAAACACTGCTTTGGCCCATTAGCTCTAGCTTCTTACTGGCTAGCTCTCATATCTCGATTAACCCATTTCTATTCATGTGTGTAGCAGCACGAGGTGGCGGTTTACTGGGAAAGATTCTAGCCTACGTCCATCTCGGAGAATTCTTTCCAGCATTCTGTTCTGTCTACTCCACCCACCAATGTTCTGACTTATCAGGCCAAGCAGTTTCTTTATTAATTAACCAATGAAAGCAACACATAGAAAGAAGACCCACCTACATCAGCTCAGTCAATGAAGTGTTTGCCACGCAAGCGTGAGGACCCAATTTCAGAGCCCTAGAACCAATGTAAAAAGCTGGGGTGGTGGTGGAGAGGATGCAGAGGCAGGCAGATCCCTGCAACTCCTGGCCCGTTGGCCTGAGTGGATGAACTAGGTTCAGTAAGAGACCCCGTCTCACAAAGTGAAAGGAGAGTGATCATGCTCTGGCCCTCACATGCATGCATGTTACCATATATGTTCATGCGCACACATGCACTCTTCTCCTGAGCACGCAGTGTACCTCATAGGTGCACAGAAACACGTGTTGGATGGCTGGCTGGTGACACTGGAGGTTTCCTATTGCAGGTCTCTTTGGCTAAAGGGAAAAGTCAGAATTGAGTGGGGGCCACATAATGCTAGGTGTTAGCATTTTCATCACTGACTATGGAATGGGTACTCCTGGGACGTGTGTGAGTCAGGTGCATTTAGGGACCCAGTGTGCACTTGGCGTGGGAAATGGTGCAAATTCAGAATCTACCTTTAATTCCCAGAAGCCCTTAGTGTTCAATTCTGGCTGAGGAATCTCTACTACTCTAAGATCCTAAGGCTGATGGTAAATCAGAATAGATACGGAAGACATGTAGGTTCTCTGCAGTGGCTCCAGGCTGGGCGCCACCATGACCTTGCCTTTGGTTCTTGTTTGTGCTGTCCAAACCCTGTGTTCCCATCCCCCAAGCCCTCCACCAGTACTCCCAGCATGTTTTCCAGTATGCAACATGTGCTTGGCTGATATTGGTGTGGAATTTGGCCTCCGACTTGGAGAAGAGGACAGACAACTATGTGGTTCGGGGCTTCAATGGGGCCGTGGACTCCTGCTGAGCCCACACCTTGAGAGAGAGTGAAAAGAGCCAGCCATCCAAGTCCTGAGGCCATAGCTCACTGCTGCCTCTGGGATCCCGTGAGTGGCTAGACACCCACCTCAATGACAGTAGGTGCCAACGGCTGTTTCTCCACCCTGGGTTGTGAGGACTTCTCCGTCTGTTAACTGGAAATGAGCTTAGCCAGAGAACTGAGAGTGTAGGTTAATATTTAGAAAGGATTTTCAAGATAAAGAACCCAGTTAATCCCAATCAGGAGGTCTTTTCACTTCTATTTGTGGAGTAGGTGGAGACTGTGTTCCAAGTTAGGACAATTCCCATAATCCTCCTAAGCCCCCTTTCCATCGCAGTTACTAACTTTACTTCTACAAAGTCAGGAGATGCTTCTCACAATGTCAGTGTCGGTTGCTGGAGGACACACTTGGGGTTCAGACTCTGGTCCAAGAAATCACCATAGAAAATAAGCGCCAATAGGCAGCAAACAAGCTTTAAGACAAAATGGAGAGGCTATTGCGACAGTGACCAATGATGTAAAAGATTAAGGCTAGACATGAACAGCACTTGGAATAAGCTCCTTGGGAGGGATGACATTCTAACAATGACATGAGGGACGTCCCAGGTCACCTTTGCGTTCCAAGAATTCATGCTTGGGCTTCAAAGGTCAGGACACACCTCTGACACCATCTCTAAGTGTCTTGGCCCTTCTGTGCTCTAGACAACTGGTACTAGAGGTCTCTGGGCAATGTCTGGTGAACAAAAGAGCTTCTCCACCGCTACCCATAGCAGTGAATGACAGAAGGGAGTTCAACCCACCAGACTATCTTTTTCCCCACATTTATTTTTTCACCTTGCATGCTGCAGACAATTTAGTTTTCTAAATTGCAAAACCTTTCAAAGACATCTGGACGGTGGTGGCACACGCCTTTAATCCCAGCACTCGGGAGGCAGAGGCAGGCGGATCTCTGTGAGTTCGAGGCCAGCCTGGTCTACAAGAGCTAGTTCCAGGACATTAACAAAAAGCTACGGAGAAACCCTGTCTCAAAAACCCAAAAAAGAAAAAGGAAAAAAAAAAGACACCTATGAACACTCCAGTGTTCCTTCACTTTCTAGTCTTTTTCCTAGACTGCAAGAATGTCCATGCCCACCAGTCCTGAAATAGGATGTTCTTGTATGCAACCCAAGAGGCCTCAGCAGTGTTTCCTACCCCACTGCAGCTGGTGTCATCGGGCACAGCATCCCTGGGAGCCATCAAATCCATCCACTACATAGACATTTTGATAAAACACAAGGCGAGGGTACTGAAGGGTGGAGGGTACCAAGGAGACTAGACCCTTTGAATGAGGCGATAATTGCTGTTTACTAGGATTAGAATATATTAAAAACAAATATTTTTCTTTTCCTTTTCCTTTTTGTTGACAGGGTATTGCTGTCTGGACTAGGCTGGCCTGGAATGTCTGGGATCAGGTGTTCTGCTTCCGTCTCTGGAACTACAGGTTTCTTTAATCAAATGGAGTTGTGTTTGGCAGGAAGAATTCCTTTGTCTTCTCTGACATGTCAAAGTGACTGGGAGAAAGGGCAGACCCAAGGTGCTGGCCGCAGAGGCGGAATGGCCTTTCCCATAGCTGGCTCCCCTGTGGACATCCTTATTGCTAGGTCTCCAACTGTGACAGAGGCTTTATCTTGTGACTCACATTGGACCTGTATCCTGGCCCAGTACTGGAGCACACAGCATGGAATGGTAGGCTTGGTCTCTAGAGCTGCATGGATTATTTTAATTGTTTTTCATTTTTATATCTGTCCATCTGCCTGTCTATCAACTTACTTACCTATAATCTATTTCTCTACCTACCTACCTATCACCTATCATCTACCAACCTATGTATGTGTGTGTATGTATGTATGCATGTATCTATCACTCTCATCTTATCGATCTATTCATCTATCTGTCTATCTATCTATCTATAATCTATTTTTACCTACCTATCTATAATCTGTTTATTTACCGACTTATCATCTGTCTATCAATCAATCAATCTATCTATCTATCTATCTATCTATAATCTATTTTTACCTACCTATCATCTGTCTACCTATCTATAATCTGTTTGTTTACTTACCTATCATCTGTCTGTCTATCTATCTATCTATCATCGGTTTATTTACCTACTTATCTATCATCTGTCTGCTTGTCTGTCTCTACATGTATGTATATGTGTGGGAACACACCACAGCATGTATGTAGAGGCCAGAGAACAACTTGAAGGAGCCAATCTCTCCTTCTCCCATATGGGTTCTGAGGATCAAACTCAGGTTCTCAGGCTTCATGGCACGTGCCTTTACTCGCTGAGACATTTCATCCACCATGGAGGGATTTCATTTTTAAAGGATTATTCTGACAACAGCAGGCCTCATCTTCCTTTTGACCTCTCTGAAGCTGTCTTGTGCTTCAGCCCCATGGCTCTGTAGTTTTGCTCTCCCAGTGTCCCTGTTCCTGCAGGAGGACCTCTGCTGCCGGCTGGAGGAACGAGAGCACAGAGCCGGTCCTGCCCACGGTCCCCGGGCTCTTTGAGCATCAGCCTGGCCACTGTTTGTCTGGAGACAGTTTGGGTGTGGCTTTTGGATCTCAGGTGATACAAAGAAGGGCTCTGGGATCCACCAGTTGGTTTCTAAAATGCAGATGTGATCACGCCATGCGCTTGCTTATAACCTTCCCAGGTCCTTCATTATCTTTATTATCTTTGTATTGAAATCCTGGCGCTTGGTATTAAACACTTCGCTGCCCACTGCAGCCTCTCGTTCCCAGGGCATCCTTGCTCTTCTGAGTTCCGGCTGCTCTCACTACAAGGGGCTGCTTCACTGTAGGCCCCAGAGTAATGGGCCAAGAGATTAGAACTAAGTCCTAAGTCAAAATAATTTTTTCTCTTTTTGTTTTTTGCCAGGCACTTACTATGTGGACACAGACTGGCTCCTCCTCCTTCTGCCTTAGCGGTGCTGGGATTGCAGGCTGTTCCACCAAATGCTCCCTCCCTCTCTCAAACTTGCCCCTGGCATTTTCTCATATTTTAACATACCGACATATGTCAGGCATGAGCAACACAATCTTTCAATTTTCTTTTTTTTTGAGATGTTATATAGCCTTGACTGATCTGGAATTCATTGCCTAGACCGGGCTGTCCTGGGACTCACTGAACTCAGCCTGGATCTGTCTAGCAAGCCATGGGATCAAAGGTGTGCACCACCACGCCCAGCCTCTTTCAGCGCCTTTGTGTCTTCAAGTGTCACGCAAATGGCAGAATCACAAAACACACGGAGATGATTGTCTGAAACAGGAATGTGTTGGGATGGTTTGCTACAGCGTGTTTATCTGTGCCCTGGACCAAATGCTTTGTCCTGATGTGCGATTCTTCGTGCTAAATCTGCGACAGGCCCTGGTCTACTGGGATGCAGGCTCAGGTTCTCTTTCAGTGCGAGCCTGACTTCAAGACCTCTGCTTCTCCTGAGTCTCTGGGTCTGTCTCTCTGTCTCTCTCTGGGTCTGTCCTTCTGTTTCTGGGTCTGTCTCTCTGTCTCTGTCATTCTCTGTCTCTGTCTGTCTCTCCCCCGAGACAGAATGAACACACACAGAATAGTGAGTGGGTAAAAACAACTGTCCTCTGCCTGAGTGTCTCCTCCATCCATACTCTAGAGGTGAGGGCCTCCTAGATCTGTATCTGGGGTTCCCGTCCACTTGCTGGCTGCTTTCCGGGGCAGACTTTTCTGCCTTGTGGTTCAGGTATCTGCCTTTAAGCCCCCAGCTCTTAATTTTTATTTTATTTCATTGATTTTTTTGGACCTGGAGAGAAGGTTCAGTGGCTGTTCTTCTAGAGGACCCAGGACCAGGTTTGATCTCCCAACACCCTCATGGTGGCTCACAACCATCTGTAACTCCAGTTCCCAGGGATCCAACACCTTCTTCTGGCCTCACGTATGTGGTGCACAGATGCACACGTAGGCAAAATATCCATATGCATAAAAATAAGATAAAATAAATGTGAGGCAATAAAAATGTATTTATTTACATGTGTGTGCACGTGTGTGGAGTGGACACACCGCTGCATATTTATTAAATGTGTGTGCATGTGTGTACACACCACTGTGTACTTGTGGAGAACAGGGGATGACTTCCAGGAGTTGGTTCTCTCCTTCCACCCTGTGGGACCTGGGAGAGAACTCAGGTCCTCAGACTTGGGAGCAGTGGCCTTTACCCACTGAGCCACGTGACCTTCTTCAAAGCTCTACGTTTTTCTCTGGCCCCTGATTTAGTTGTTTGACAAGGATCTTTTCCCGCTCAAATGAGGACCCCACAGGGCCATGGTGGGATTGCACGACTCTTCTTGGTTGCCTTTTAGGGACTTAATTCTAGGCCAGACCACACTCATCAAACAACACTGCTTTCAAAGCTGTAAGAAGTGAGTGTGGAAGGTGCAAAGAGACCAAACCGGTCCAGCTGACCTCCTAGCGGAGCCTTCCTGAGGCAGGGCATCCTTGGTTTAAACCCATCTGGGACAGAGAACTCACTGTCTCACAAACGGCCTGTACTCATTACACTTTTAGAAAGGATGTTTCCATGTGATATCCGTGTTCTCCCCATCAGTGGCTGCTGCTAGGACCGCCACCAACCTGCCAGGCTCCGCAAAGAAGTTTGAGCTCCATCTTACCCATCTCCTGACAGGCCCGAGGCCCCGTGCCAGCCTCTTCTGGATCATGTGTCTCTATGTCCAAACTCAGGGCTCGCTTCATCACACTGAGGACATTGACCTAGTCCAAGGGATTCTGAAAATCTGCACACGGACGGTAACTAGTGCTTGGGCTAGCTTAATGGTAGCGTGCTTGCCTAGTGCATGTTTTGCCCTGGGACTGAGCCTAGCATTGAGGAAAGAAAAAAAAAAGTCACATGTTGGCAAACCTAATTTTGAAGTGCTGGAAATGGAACCCAGGGCCCTCTGCTCTTAGTCAAGGACTCTGCCCTTGAGCTACACCTTCACTCTGACAGCCATAAAAAAAAAAAAATCAGCTGAATGCAAAAAAAGAAAAAAAAAATAGCATTCCCTCAAATTCTAAGGCTCCTGGATTTCGGAGCCCGTGTCCGTGTCATGAATGGCTTTCTCTGGTCCTGAACTGGCCTTGCTTTATGCTCCACGAAGCACAGTGGTCTTCCTTCTCTGAGTTACACTCACTCAGGCGGCAGCTCTGAGAGAGGGGCTGGGCCCTGCCAGACATGCAACAGCGCCGGGAATCTGGGGCACGCGGCCTTTTGTGCTGGCCTGGGACCCAGTGTTCTTTGAGGGGTCATGCTTGCCTGAGGTATGCTCGCAAGGTGTGGCCTGAAGCAAAACAACGAGATAAAGCCTCAAAGGTCAGCCCCATCGTGGCTATTCTCAGAGCAGACTTTTGCTCCCCTGCCTTTGCACCTGAAAGAGGAAGGGATGTTCAGCTCTGGGCGACATCAGCACCAGGAGACACCAGGCTTCACCCAGTGCCTAATGGACGAGGATGGACCAAAGAGTAAAGAAGAGCTGGAGTTTCCCATAATGCCCCATCCCTCACTGAGTTTCTCTGGGCATCAACCCAGGTCCTTTTCATTTTAATTAAGGTGGTGAACCAGGCTCTGACTTTCAAAGGAATCTGAGGAAATCTTCCTGCCAAGTCCTGAGGGAATCGCTGTGACACTCAGGAACACGGGCCTGTGTAGGTTGAGGAATGCTGAGGAGAATAGATTATAGGGAAACAGTCTACCTTTCTTTACAAGGTCCTTGTTTTGCTGCATCCCTGAAATCTCAGATGCAGCCGTTACAATGAGGGCCTGTTGCAGAAAGAGCTGACCTTTTATCACCACTTAAAATCTAATTAATCCATACCGAAGCACAAAGATTTCTGTTGTACGTTAGGGTGAGGGGTCATAGAGGCCTCTTTGTTCGTCTTCAGACTTATACCCGTCAAGCGTTGGGGATAGAATTTTACCAAGCAAATTGGAAAGTAGCAGATCAAATCCTTATCAGAAAGCCTAACTCATAGTTTTTAACAGATTCCTCTACCCTTTACATGAAACACTATATTCAAGAGGAACAAAAACGTATTTCAGAGCGCCCAGGGAGTGAATGACCAAAGCTTATATTCCGGGTGGCATAGGATCAAGACCGTCACACCACTGTCAACCGCCGAGGGCAGCAGATTCTATAGAGTGGCCGAGCTGCACCATCTGCCCCAATGGCTTTCATCTTCAGAACGGCCATGCAATCTGCAGGGCTTTCGCTCTCACTGCTAGGATGGGTCCTGGCCATTATTACAACGTATCTGCCCCACTGGAAGAACCTCAACCTGGACCTGAACGAGATGGAAAACTGGACCATGGGGCTCTGGAAAGCCTGCGTCATCCAGGAGGAAGTGGGGAGGCAATGCAAGGACTTTGACTCCTTCCTGGCCTTGCCAGCTGAACTCCAGATCTCCAGGATCCTGATGTCTCTGTCGAATGGGCTGGGGCTGCTGGGGCTGCTGGGCTCTGGCTGTGGCCTGGACTGCTGGAGGCTCGGAGAGAGCCAGAAGGGTCTGAAGAGGCGGCTGCTCAACTTGGGAGGGCTCCTGCTCTGGACTTCGGGCGTGCTGGTCCTGGTTCCTGTCTCCTGGGTGGCCCACGTGACGGTTCAGGAGTTCTGGGATGAGACCCTGCCTGAAATTGTGCCCAGGTGGGAGTTTGGGGAGGCCCTTTTCCTTGGCTGGTTTGCTGGCTTCTGCCTGGTGCTGGGAGGGTGCCTGCTCCACTGTGCAGCCTGCTGGAGCCCGGCTGCCCCCTCCTCGGGCCACTATGAAGTGGCAGGATTGCAAGACCACGGTTCGTATCTGGAAAACGGAACTGCACAGCCTCAAGTGTAAGCCACCAGCGGGGCCTAGTCATGTCCTTTGTCACCGATGACAAAACGTCTCTGTTATGTAACTTAATTGTTCTGCTCACTTTTTTTTTTTTTTAAATAAATTTGCTAACCTTTTTCTTTTGGTCTATACTAGAGGCGTGCTTCTCAAATCTGAAGAATGAAAGGAAGTTTATCTATAAGGAGATCATGATGGCAAACATTATGTAGCTATGTGTGGAGGAAAAATATTGATTTCCAGTGTGTGCCCAATACAGTCAGTCCAGTGCTTTGAGGTATTCGTTTGTGGGTAAGCTGTGTTGCTGTTTCCACGTGGAAACCATAATTTCTTTCTCCTTCCTAAAGAAAGTAATAACAATCTGCGGTCCTGTTTATTAGCAGAGCCACAGGCTAAGTCAGTCGCCAAATGCCACCTCCAGGGCGATTCTACTCTGGCTTAAATGTTCCCAGGAGCCTTCTGAACTCTGAGGACTTTAGGAAGCTGGAGTTCCCGGATGTTCTGGTTGGACCTCCAGAACACTGTGGGCTTTGACTATTTTTACGTCGTAGCCAATCTCAGTCCTCATCTCTTTACTCAAAAACTTCAAGCTTAAAAAGGGGAAAAATATTTCCAGCAGGAGTTTTTTTTTTTTTTCTTGCTCTCTAGCTTCTCTCGGTTCATTTGTCGGAATGAAAACTTGTGTGTTCCGTCCCAGACGACAGACGTGGGGAGACGTAGTGAAACGGGAGCAACCATGTTGACTTGGACCCAAAGGCCCCGCTGCTTCTCTTCCCTACAGCCTAAAAAGTTAATTTCAGCAAAGAAACAAAAAACAGAAAGAAGAAAATCCCTCCAAATTCTCAGAGCCCAACAGCTATTTATGGCTTATGCTTGTGACTTAACACAAAGGCGTGCAGATAAGTGAGGGCCGACATCGCCTCCTGCACTCTGCACTGTGTAGCCAAAGAATTTTCAAAACAGGCCCGATTTAAAGTCTAGAGGGATTCCTGATAAGATTGATTTATTTGGTTAAGAAATACTTCTCTCTGAACCTCTTTTTTTTTTTTTTGCAAAGATGGTAACACCCAGTATTATTATCATAACACACGCACAGAAACTCTAACAGATGAAAATCTGACAGCTGTAATTAGCACAGCACAAAGCGGGAGGAGTGGAACCCGAACCTTCAATTAAGAGGTTTTTTTTTTTTTTTACATTTAGACTTAATTCTCCGGCTTGTTAGGAGCGTTGGGAATGTGAAAGCCAGGTAAACCTTCACAATGAAAGGGTTAGCACAACTTGACCTCAGAGGCTCCCTGACAAAGTGCTCTGCACAAACTTCAGCCCACAGGACACAAACACAGCCCCGGGCCACACCTTAGCATTGCTGGTTCCTAGCAGTGTTTCCCTGTCCTCTTCTGAAACCTTTTCAACATGGACTCAAACAATAGTAGACCTGGCAGGCAGCCTCCTATACACACAATGCAAAACTATGTCTAAGCTCTGCAAGAGCTAAGTGTCACACTTTTTTTTACAGCAAGCGCGGGGCAGGAGTCGGGCTGGCTCAGGCTCGCGGGACGTTCTAATGGGCTTGGTTTTCCGGAAAGCCACGCAGTCCGCTGCACTTCTGCTAGCCCTGCTGGGATGGGTTTTAGCCTGCCTCACCAACTACTTGCCCCACTGGAAGAATCTCAACCTGGACCTGAACGAGATGGAAAACTGGACCATGGGGCTCTGGAAAGCCTGCGTCATCCAGGAGGAAGTGGGGAGGCAATGCAAGGACTTTGACTCCTTCCTGGCCTTGCCAGCTGAACTCCAGATCTCCAGGATCCTGATGTCTCTGTCGAATGGACTGGGGCTGCTGGGGCTGCTGGGCTCTGGCTGTGGCCTGGACTGCTGGAGGCTCGGAGAGAGCCAGAAGGGTCTGAAGAGGCGGCTGCTCATCTTGGGAGGGCTCCTGCTCTGGACTTCGGGCGTGCTGGTCCTGGTTCCTGTCTCCTGGGTGGCCCACGTGACGGTTCAGGAGTTCTGGGATGAGACCCTGCCTGAAATTGTGCCCAGGTGGGAGTTTGGGGAGGCCCTTTTCCTTGGCTGGTTTGCTGGCTTCTGCCTGGTGCTGGGAGGGTGCCTGCTCCACTGTGCAGCCTGCTGGAGCCCGGCTGCCCCCGCCTTGGGCCACTATGCAGTGGCAGGATTGCAAGACCACTGTCAGCAGCTGGAGCTGAAACACGCCAGCTCAGAAATCTAAGCCAAGTGGATCAGTGGCCTTTCTACTCTTCAGCAGGTGCTCGCTCCAGCCGGACTTGGTAGGATCTCCTGCTAAAATCACCCCTACTCAGTGTGATTTTGAGTTTCCCAAATGCATACTTCCTTTCTGTGACTATTAACTTCTAAATACAAGTTTCTTTCTACAACTGCGTCTTTTCTATTTGGAGCCAGATGAATCAGGACCTTTTGATGTAATCAGCCATTAGTGAGCTTACGAACTTTGTCAGCCTTTAAAATAGGCTGTGATTGCACACACACAGGGAGTGGGTAAACCAAACATCATATGGGCGCTTTTGTGGCTCTGAAAGGATCGTTCACGTGGAGAGGAGTCATGTGGGAAACAGACGTGATGTTGACCATGTACTGTCGGGTACCTAAAGTAACTTAGGAAACTAAGATCTCAGTGGATACTCATTTAAAATACATGACAACCGAGGACAGTAAAAGCAACAACAACAAGAACAAAACACTTGCTTGGTCCTGGAAGGACTCAATGGGACACCCTTTCCAGAGACCTCTCTCTAGAGAGTTCTTCCCACATCAGAAACATCCATGCCTGCCTCTGAACAGAGCGGTTCTCGTGGATTCTGGGAACTCAGGTAGAATGTGCCACGCAAAAGTGCACCTCCCTCTGTCCCTGTGTGGTGGGGTGGAATGTCCTGCCTGCTTTGGTTCTGGGGCAGAGGTTGGGACTGGCGTGTGTGGGTGGGCACAGTGTCTCCTGGGACGGCTGCCTCCTTTGGAAGAACGCTGCCAGCTTGGGTAGGGTAGCCGGGGCCCACAGACTCATCAGCCCTTGTTTTGCTGGAGAAACAAAAATACCCCATCTCGTTTATCCTTGAGATCTACAGTCTAATCAAGGACTGCTCATGACAAGTTTTTGGCCTGAGGAATTCTTCATGGAACATTTTATATTTGCTTGGTACATGGTTCAAGTAGATTCTTGTATTTGTGCCAATCAGGGAAATGAGCCGAACAATAAGCAACGCTGAAATACAGTATTAGGAAATATGTATCCTTGTTTTTTTTTTTAAAAAAAATTACTGAGTGTTTTCATAAACACACGGAAAGTGCAGCAGAAGACAGTCCGTGTGCTGTATTTGAACACTTTTACACACAGCGCCGATGAGAACAGAAACATATGCAGGGTTCAACCTGATTAAACAGTTCGTGCAGTCCTGAGCTTCTCATAGTTAATATAATATAAATTCATAGCAAATTTTTTAAAAAAGTATTTAATTTGTATGCTACAGAGACTCAGCTAAACTTTGTTCATTTGGCAAGTAATACTCTTTTTGTATCTGTAACACTTAAAAGTCTGGTATATAGAACTGTAATAATATACTGATAATCCAAACTTGAGAGCTAAATATTAAATTCTTTTTGTCCTGTCCAGAATAAATTCTACCTTTAAAAATATTTTTTAATAACATTAAAATTTTTATTTTCCCATATGGTTTTGTGATTGAGTTAGTAAGATGATTTTGAATCGTGGGTTAATACAAATGCGGCGGCCCACGTCAAGCTGCGTGTAATCCACAATACTATTGCTGACTCTTAGTGTGGGGGAAGAATCTACTAGAATAAGTTCTTCTCTCGTGTTAGAAACGAGCATGTTCTGTAAAATCAAACCAAAGCCCCCCAGTCACAACTGTGAGCTACCAGCCTGAGACACACTTTATTCTTTAGTACTCGTCTGAGACTTTTTGTAATACAAAAAGTTAGCAATAAAACTGATGAAGATCATAAAGCTGTAACACTCCAATATAGCCTCTTGTAAGCCCAACATTTAAGATGGTCAGAACCGAACTATATATTAAACAGAACATAAATAAGACCGTAAATAAATAAATGAAAATAAAATCGTACGGTACAACTACACAAAATCCTACGGACAGGTCCGTGGGCCAAACTCTGCTGCTGAAGACAGCTGACCTTTATTTAGCACTGTATTAAATAAACCTGCTGTTCACAGTTGACCTGGATGGGGGGGCGGGGCACTCCAGCTCCCTCCAGTCACCTACAGGACAAACGGGACTCAGTCTGCCACTAAGGCTGGTTTCTGTCCCAAGTGCTATCACGTCCAGTTACATCTGCTAAGAAGTTGGGTGTAAGCTGTGGAACACTCAGGGGAGAAACGACTGGAGTTTTCCGTGCGGCAACTGATAACTGAAGTTCTGGCTGAGTATACATTTTGATTCTGATAGGATGAACTTTCTAAAATCTGCATAGATTCAGGAAAATAAAAGTTCTTACTAATGGGGATTCCAGCAGAACGTAACTCTTTTTAAAACAGATTTTTTTCTTGCCTAACTTTCTTTGTAAAATTCCTATAAAATTATTTTGCATTAAAAAAATAAAAATAATTTAGCTTGCTATATAAGATGGCTCACCAAAACCCGGCTTCTTCCAGTATGACAGACTAAGTAAGTATGGTTTAAATTACCTAAAACCTATGTATTTTAACACTTTTATGCTGAGTCTTTTTCTTTCCTCTCCCTTTCTTTATCTTTTTTTAAAAAAGAAGTGCCCTGTTCTGGTTAAAACCCAACCCGGAGAATAGGATACTTTGACCAATTTCTATCTCGTTTGTTCCCCCCAAATATATATATGTTTAAGTGACCCAGTCCACACTCTCAGTACCCTCAGGCACACCCTGTTTTTGCGTCCGACTGCTATGACTCACTGAGAGACCCCTAAAGATGACAGCTGCAAAATAGTTCCTAGTAAGCCTAGAAACCTGTGGACGAACTGTTCTCTTTGGCCAGCATTAAGATGCGCCCTGTCCTCCGACCTCACCTACTGAACATGGGTATGTATGTCCCCTCCACACCGCGTGTGCTGTGGGTGTCCCCTCTGCTCTGCCTACACTGTCATTAGAACCCAGGGCCACCTCATGCTTCTCTGTGGCATTGCCTTTATCCCTAGGACTGGTACAGGCCAGAAAGACGGCTCTGCAGGTTCAGATTGTGTTAGAAGCAGAGGCCACATAAGTATCAGTTGTGTTTCCTTGGTGTGTTTTTCGGGAGCTGGTGCCCCCTTCCCTTTCTGTCCCAACCACAGCTCTCTACAGTAGGACTATACCTTGGCTTTTCATGTTCTTGTATTCAGCATTTCACACGTTTTGTTTTCTCCAGACAAGTTTAGGAGGGCAGAAAGAAATGTCTTGTGGAAATGAGAGGGCCAGACCCAGCTGACGGAAGGACGCGCCTGTTTCGGGTGGACGCAGGACGATTCTTGCTTGCGAGCACCTTCAGTGGGGAAGTGTGGCTTTCTAGCTCAGGACTCTGGTTTGGTGGGAGCAGCTTCTCAGCTCCTGCGCGGCTGCCCCCTGCAGTGGGCTCAGCAGGCATGCACTGGGCACCTGCGGCCTCTGTTCCACTTTGCACAGTGAAACCCAGGGGTGTGCCACACGTGGGGACCAGATCACCCCGTTTCAGTCCTGTGAATTCTTTTTCCTTCGCAAAGCATGTAAGAGTTACATTCAAAGGAGCTTAGAGATTAACCTGATGAAACTGGTGAGAAACGGAAGTTCTTCAAGATTGACAGTTAGGTTACAGGCAACAAAAGCCCCGCCCCCCAACAAAAATAAAAACAACAAACAGCAAATGTTCAGTCTTTGACCCTCCCTTGGAAAGAGAGCAGGTGGGGAGTAACATCGAGCCGCAGGGTCACACGTCGTCAGCTGGCAGGGACGGAATGCTGATCTTCGCTCGCGTGAAGTAGGCTATCTTCTCCCTAGAGGGAGAGAGGGAGAGGGCCACTCAGCATCATCCTGGGAATTCTGAGAGCCCCAGGGCTGTCTCCACAATCCCAGAAACCACACTTAAAATCACGAGAGCCTTCATTTTTAATCATTGTTTATAGCCATTTTTATTTAGTGTTTGTGTAAGGGGTGCAATGCCATGGTGTTGTGATGTCAGAGGAAACTCCTACCACTTGTGGGAGTCAGTCCCCTCCTTCTCCGTGGGCCCTGGGGGTTGAACTCAGACCACCGAGTGTGGGGACAAGTGCCTCTCCCCACTGAGCCATCGTCCCAGGCTGCATCTTCCTTGCTTTAAGGGTGGGTGGCACATCCAGTCCCTCTGGTTCCAAGTCCCCTACACACTAAGTCACTGTGTTCCCCGAGGGTTCCCAACTGAAGAGCATTTGTGACCCATCAGGGGCGTGGGGCTGTGTTCGGATATTTCTAAGGTAAGAGAAGCTTCAAAAGGGTCAAAATGCTGAACTGAAATTCCCAGAGTCAAGTTTGTCAGAACAAACCCATGTGAAGGAAGGCAGGGACAGGGACACTCTCCACATTATTAAATTGTTCATTACTTTTTCTTACGTGTAGTGTGTGCACGCGCACACACGTGTGGAGGGTGGAGGACACCCTGTGGAGTTGGCTATCTCCTTCTATTATGTAGGTCCTAGGGAACAAACTCGTGTTGCCTGCCCTGGGGACAGGTGTCCTTACCGCTGAGGCACCTTGTCAGCCCTTTGAGACAGGGTCTCTTACTGAACTTGGAGCTTGCTGATTCAGTGAGATTGGCTAGCCAGCAAGCTCCAGTCCTTTACCTGTACATATAGGACCTTCAGCACCTCAGCTTCCTGCTCCTACTGTGGGACAATGGTCTTAGATCCTGTAAAGATTTGTCACTTGTATTGGTTTAATAAAGTGCTGATTGGCCAGTACCCAGGCAGGAAGTATAGGCGGAGCAACCAGACTAGGAGTGTTGGGAGCAGTGAGACCTCAGATCCTGAATTTCTTGTAATCCCCTGATCTGAGTGCCTACAGCTGCTCTGAGCACGAGACCTTCAGGAGTTCCTGATGGCAGGAGAGTGGTTTCTGGTGGGTTTGGCTGGGGCGTGGCTATCCCTATATAATCTGCCCCTGAACACAACAAAGGGGGCATTCTTGGGGAATTCAAGGATGACCCGTGTCGCTGTCTCTCTGTCTGTGTGTGTCTGTGTATTTTAACCTCCAGCCCCCTTGCCCGAAGCTCTTGAACTGTTGCCAGCGCACAGAGCGCAGACATGGGGGGGGGGGCGGTGGCGGTGCGCGGCATTGGAGAATTCTGGGAAGCAAAAAGGCTCAATCTCAGTCTGCAATCATCAGATGCAGAGGAAACAAGATGAGAATGCCTCACTGATAAAGGTACCAAGCCATGTGGCTAACAAGACAAGAATTATGGGTTAATATAAGAGTTAGTTAATAAGAAAGCCTGAGCTAATAGGCCAACGAGTTTATAATTAATGCAGGCTTCTGTGTGTTTCTTTGGGACTGGGTGGGACAGACACCTCTGTCAACATGCCCCTGCTCTGAAGTCTCACGTGCCTGATGCCAGCTCCTGCCCTTCAAAGCTTCCCGTCCGCCATGAGTCCTTCCTTTCCTGCTCCCAAACAGCCTCTCTCCCAATCCCTCTCCACAACCTAAAAGCTAACTGGTTCTCTTTTTCTCTCCTTTTACATTTATTTGTGTGTGTGCACACATATGAGGGAGAGAGGGAAGAGAGAAAGAGAGGAGGGAAGGAGAGTCTGTGTATAGGTGAGCACGTCACAGTACGCGTATGGCGGTCAGAGGACACTCATGGGAACTGGCTCTCCTTCCACCATGTGGGTTCTAAGCAGGCCCTGAACTCAGGCCATCAGGCTTGGCCGCAAGCACCTTTGCCCACTGAACCATCTTGCTGGCCCAAGCTTAGAAGCTCTGTGGATTTCTCTATACGAAACCTAAGTCAAAACTAAGATGAACATAAAACAAGTAGAGAAAGCTTTTTCTGCGATCCTCCTATACTTGACCCACTGGCATGGTCTCTGAGGCCCCTATGTTACATGATCTGGGGACATTTTAATTCTCTTCTCTTACGTCTCAGTGTCCAACAGTCTGTCCTTTCCGGTTCTTCGGCCCCAGGACCACACTCTGAGCTCCTTCTAGCTCTAGAACAGTCCTTTTCACCTTTGCCAGTGCCCAGCAGGTGTCCTCTCCTGGTCACCTTCCCTCGCTTTCTGGGATGTGTTGCCTGTTTCTACCGTGGGAACTCTCTCCGTGTGACCCTTAACCCCTCCAGAGCTTGATTTCTGACTGTCCATTGGGTGGAGTTACCTGGCTGGCCGACAGCATGGTTTACCCAGGCTATGCAAAAGCAGGAAATCCTCACTGTGAACACTCTCCTCTCCCCTGCTCTCTGCCTCAGTTTCCCCTCCGTGCCTCCAATGCCTGCCCCAGCAGGATCCCCACCGTGACTTTCTCAGAGACCTGGCTTCCTCAGTACTCAAAGCCACACCTGAAATCCTTCTGTGTGGTGTTCAGGCCCTGTGGAGTCTGACAAACTCGCCTGGGACAGCTCTGTCTGCGCCGTTCCTCACAGCCACCACAGCCAGTGCCTCAAGACCTGGTGGAACCCTTCCACAGTGGACTCCAATGGTGCCCTCCTTGAGCTGACCTGTAGAGCCTGCATATCTGGCCTACACAGACTGGAGTTCTCTCCAGATTCTCTCATGGTCCAGATTCATCCGCACGACATGAAACCGCTCTGCATGGCCCTGCAGGGGCTGTGGACCTCGGTCCTGTCAGACTGGGGTCCCTGTAGGAGCAGGAAGCATGTGTTCCATTGCTGTACTGTGGGTGTCAGCACAGTGCAAGGTGTGTCTGCATGTGTGCTTCTGCGTGTGTGTATGTGTTGTGTGTGTGTGTGTGAGAGAGAGAGAGAGAGAAAGAGAAAGAGAGAGAATGGTACCCAAGGAATGGCCAGAAAATGAGCGAACAAAATCCCCCAAAGATCCATGGCTTTTGTGTATTTTTCTGTATCCTGGGTGAAGCTTTCTCAATGAGATGAACTCATGACAATCAGAGGTTCTGGGCTGCTGGGGAGACAGGATTAGTGGGTGTCACCTCAGTGTGGAGCGCATGTACAACTATATTCATACCAGGGAAAGACACAGTGGCAAGGGTCACTTAGTCCTGAGGTGAATTCTTGTGCAATCATGGCGCAGGAGGGGGACGCCACAGAAGGAGCAGGTGCCCAGAAGCCACTTACCTGAAGGACTGCACCTGCCGGGGCACCTTCCGGCTCTGCTCCCGCAGCCGGCACACATCCTTGGACGCCTGCCTCATCAGTTTCTCTGCGTTCAGGCCTTGCTTCTGCTCTTCTTTCGTCTGCTCAGCCTGGCAGAGGAAAGAACAGTGGGGCAACAGATAAGGGCTTGATTAGAAACCTGGAGATGCTGCAAGGCTCAGCTGGAGGCCAAGGCGCGCAGCCAAGGGCAGCTTTTGTTGGGCATTAGGGGACAACAGCCACATGCTAGGCTCCTGCTAACCTAGGTGACACAATAACCACGCTTAAAATTTTTACATCAGGCAAACCTGAGGACTCTCAAAATCAAAAAACAAAACAAGCAACAATGAAAACGTCAAACAACAAAAACCTAAAACTGAAAACCACTAGTGTTGAATAGGTAATATTTCAGTAAATACACTCACAAACTCTTTCCTCCCCAGCCCCGTTTCCCTGTGTCAGCCAGTTAAAAAGCTTCCTAAGTGCACCTGACTACTAAGCAATGGCGCATAAGTATGGGGCTTCAAGTCCCGCACCCAGGGACACACTGTGTGACCTGCTGCAGGCTAAGGGACAGATGGACCACCATCCGTTCTCACATCCCCTTAGTCCCTTCTGGCACCAAGTTCTCACTGTCCCCCAAGGCTTTACTACAGTTCACTCTGTGTTACTGTTAATGTTGTATTAGACACTCACACACATATATTTTAATACAAATAGACCAATAATATTGTTCACTGACGGCTGCTTCCCCATTTCCTCCATGTGGTCACCTAATAAGCAAATACGTATGGTCACCTTTGGTAGGGATATTCTGTGTTAGCAGATGAAGATGGCGGACCCTGGGGCTTACTGTCTGATTTTGAATTCTCTTTTGAGTACTTCCTAGCTCTGAGTCTGAGGCAGGGGCTTGGCTAGTCCTTGGGCAGTAATATCTTTGGGATAGGTACTCCAAAGGGTTAGGAATTTAAAGGAGCTAACCCACGGAAATCACTCAGCGTCTGAGTCAGCACCAGTAAGCCTCCTGTCTCAGTGTGAGTCACTCCGTTTTGGCTACAGTCTATTAGAGGGGAGGGGAGGGTTGTGAACAAAACAGATACAGTTCAATGAATGAGAAAAACAAGAGTAGAGAGTGTATTAATTATAAAAATTGAAAACAATGTTAACGTTTTCTTGGGTTAACTTTTTTTATTTTTCAACTTAACATTAAAAAACATTTTAAGAGCGAGGCAGAGTGGCTTGGAAAGCTAACTAGGAAGACTGTAAATCTGGGATAGCCTGAGCTACACAGAGGGCTCCAGAAAAGCCTGGCGTACATAGAGACTGTGTTTCAAGAGCAAACCGACCAGTGAATCAGCGCATAAGTAAATAAGAATGAGAAGCCAGATGAGGGAGCGCATGCCTATAATTCAAGTACCCCGAAGGTTGAGGCAGGAGAATTGTCATCAGTTTAAGGCCAGCCTGAGCTATACCTAAAGTTCACCCCACCAAACACAAACAAACAAACAAACCCAACCAGCAATAATCCCCAACACCAGCAAGAAGACAAACAAGGGGAAAACTCAGAAAGAAAAAAATAAATTAGGGGTGCTTTTAGTTGGTAACGAAACTGAGCAGAAGGGGTTCCCATGATGCTCCACCCCAGCACAGCGCACACAAGCCTCTCTTCCTGGCTTTCCACCCGTGTGCCGGGGAGCCAAGGGCAGCGGTCAGGTTTGAAGTTTAATAACTCTCGGAGCCACAACTCAGCCTGTCGCTCACTTTCTCTTTTAACTTTGAGTCTGCATGTATTGTTCCTGACCAAATACAGCTGCGTGTACAGGTACCAGGAGAGCTGACGGGCAGTAGCCAGTAACAGCAGAACGATCACTAAAACACCCGGAGCTACCAGCCCTTCATCTCTGCAGTTTTCTCTTTAACGTTTCTAGCTTACTAAAGGCAACTGAGACCACGTATGTGACTTCGGACAAGGAAGGCTACAGTATGTGGGACAGGTTTGGCTGTTTTATTTCCCCCTGGAAGCTGTTTTAAGAGGAGGAATTCCGTGGGCAACTGACTGTTGGTGTCTTTCCTTCCCAGTCTCCCCGGGGCCTGCGGAAGTGGAGCAGATCAGGCAATGCCTGGGGGAGCTGCCAGGTCACACCAGGTGACAGCTGAGTGTGTAGCTGTGACTACCCTGGTCACACTGCAGTTCAGTCGGCTTCTTCTGGTCCCTTTCTGGACCACCAGCCACATTCCCCTCCTCACGGAGTCTCCTCAAGGCCTTGGCCTGCCTTGCCTTTCCTTAACAGTTCCATTATGGGACTTGCTTTCTGCTTCCCCCACACAATGAGAGTCCCAGCACTTTCAAGAAGAACAAGACATAACAGAATATTAATATAGTCGGCATTTTTTTCAGTATAGCCTAACTTTTAAAAGTATTAGCATATGTATCACTTGAAATTAAAACAAGCAAACAACAACAAAATCCTCTCGCACCCTGGCACTTTCTATGCGTTAGGCTCCATAACTAACGCATAACTAAGGTGACTCGCCTTCCGTTTATGTGAAAAGACCTGGCCTGCAGCAAGGCCCAGCGGCTCACTCACAGCCACGTCAAGCCTGACAGAACAAGGAACACAGCATCTAAGTTTACAGTCCTCGGCTCCTCACTCCGCTTCCTAAGGGGAAGCACAATCCGCGGGCATGAACATTTGATTTTTATTGTAAGCTATAAAAGAGACTTTCTGCTGTCAACATGGAGGCTTACGGGGGACGATCCTGAGAGCCTGGGGGGGGGGGTCAGGTCCAGGGTTGGCTGCTGGGGCTGCTGTTTCCCTAGGAGGCACATTCATATTTTCTATGGTGATTGGCAGGGTCACCGTTAGGCACTTTATGATGATCTGATAGAAATCACATGCCCAGCCTCACAGGGAAACGGTGGCAATGAAAGGGCTGTGTGTGTGTGCGCGCACACATGCGTGTGTGCATGTGTGTACAGGCTGCTGTGTCTATGTGCACACTTCCTTCCCAGTGAAGTGAGAGGGCTGCATGTGTGTGTGTGTGCACGTGTGCATACATGCTTTACATCAGGATGCTAGGAACCCTTACGGCTGCTACTCCTGGAGCTTGTCCCAGAGTCCCCAAGCACAGGGTGGACTATGGGCATTCCTGCCACAGTCATGGCCCCCCCCCCCCAAGGGCCACCAACAGCCCCACCTGTCAGTTCTCATCATTCTGTTATTTAGTTCTTGAATTTTCTTAGATATTTGCCTAAATTGTGGACATATAATGCTTAACACATTCAAAGAATCTTTTAAATCTCAGATCTGTTTGGACCGTTCTTTCCTCACCAGCATATTAGCCACTTCTTGTTGCTGTAGCAACACCTAAGAGAACACCTGAAAGGGAAGAAGATTCTGATGGAAGCTCGACCCTGGCCCCTGGTGTCCACACACCCAAAGAGTCTGGTGAAAGTTCCACCCCAAGTCCCCTCCTCCATCTCTTCTCCAAACCCTGCCACAGCTCTGTTGTGTCTGAACCCATGCACGGGGGCAGGAAATGGCTGTGGGGAGTGTGCGGGGGAGCACAGGCCTATCTGGAAATGAGGCCTTTCAAAGGCACCACGTGACTCCCCTCTCCCAACTAGACCTCCACCGTCCAACAGCTCCTTCAGCTAGGAGTCCTCAGCTGAGGAGCTTAGTGTCCTTGTGGCTCAGCTGCTTCTCAACACCGCCACCAGGTGGGACCCAGCATATCAGTCCAAAAGACAAACTTGTTACCGAGGGTCCTTTTCTAGTGGACACTTCCAGGAATCCCCTGCTGTTCTTCAGATCGCCACCCAAAGGGCCACATTAAAAGAATAACGTTCAGGCACGTGTAACATTCCAGCTGTATGGGAAGCCCTATTTAATTGTAGCAATGAATACAGATCGCTAAGCCAAAATATAAATCCTAACCCTGAGAATAAATCAGTATTCTATTCAGGCAGACTCAGTAATATTTAGGTGGCACATAAAAAGAATCCCTTTTAAACATTTGATTTTTGCTAGGAGGGATAGTGCATGCCTATAGTGCCCACGCTTGGGAGGATGAGGCAGGGGGATTGCATGTTCTCTTTTTTGTTTTGTTTGTATTTTTGAGACAGGGTCTCATTATATGACCCTGGCAATCCTAGAATTCATTATGTAGACCAGAACTCACAAAGATCCACCTGTCTCTACTTTCAGAGTCCTAAGATTAAGGACATTCTTAAAGATCAGCTGAATTCAGTGAGGAGCTGTCTCAAAACAAAACCCCAAAAACAGAAACAAATCTCCACAATAACAATACAGCGTACACGTGGTGCACACCTTTAATCCCGTCGCCTTGCGATAGAGGCAGGTGAATCTATTTGACGCCAGCCTGGTCTACACAGCAAGTTCCAGTCAGGGCAACCCACTGAGATGCCCCATTTCTTTATCCCGTCACCTTATCTCATCTTCTAGACATGGTTTTAGGGTGAAGGCAAATGCATGTGTACTATTAAAGTGAAATGCAATCTTTTTTCCAGGAAGGAAAGGGAAAATTTAGAAACATTAAAATTAGCAGCGTATTTATAGCTCCTGTGGTTAAGTGGACTCTCCCGAGCGCTGAAATGCAAACACTGGGTACCATCTGCGGAAACGCCCAATGCCGCCATGCTCCCTTTCTGTCAGGAAACTACAGAGCTGCCTTGGGGTTGGGTGGACAACCACCACCACAGCAATATTTGGGCAGGAAGGACTCTACAATGGTGGGGTGGCCATGCCCCAAGTCCTAGGAAAAGGATGGGAAGATGCCCATGTTGGGACCCTCTTCCAAAGTGCCCGCCCCTAAGCATACATCTGCACCAGCCCCTGCTGGGGTGACCCAGAACTCCATACCTGCTTCTCTGCTTGCTTCAGAAGCTTCTGGAATCTCTCATCCTCCAGCACGCCTGGGGGAAGGTCAGTCTCTCCCTGAGCTTTCAGTTCCTCCAGCTTCTGCCGTAAGTCCCTCAGGGCCTGCAGCTCGTCGTTGAGGCGGCTCTGGCGGGTCAGCGAGGCCTGCAGGTCCAGCTCCAGGTCCAGAGATGTGCGCACAGGGCATTCCTGAGCAGTCCTCCTGAGGGAGGGCTGGCAGACGGCCTGTGGAGGGAGACACAGCAGATGCCCCTTTCCTACCTCTGCCCTTCCTCACGTGACAGGACACAGAACTGGCCATGTGGCTTGCTTTGGCCAAAGACAGGGCGGTGGGAGAGGTATCCCCTCCGGGGAGACGCTTGTCAAAGTGCTGTGAGATCTGTCATTTCTGCCTCCCACTGGGAACATAGCAGTGACCAGAGGTGGAAGCTCCTTCAGCCTGGGTCCCATGAGAGCAGCAGGACTGCTATCTGGCAAGCCTGCCACGTTAGTAGCTGAGCATGCAATGAAGCTGAGCCATTGTAAACTACAGAGATCTCAGAAGTGGGCGCTAGGTAGTCTGATGACCTGGGTTCTATCCCTGGGATCCACATGGTGGGCAGAGAAAACCATCTCCTCAAAGTTGCCCATTGTCCCCACACACATTAGTTGGTCACCTTACAAACAAGCAAACATAATTAAAGTGATTTTAAGTGGATAGCACAGTTCATGGTGAATGAAAAGCAAATGCATCACAAGAGTTATATAGCCTCTAGTTCAGGACACACCACGGCTCGCTCCTTAGCTACCAAGGCTGTGAGTGTTGTCAGAACGCAGTGGAGATGGCCTCTGTCCTACAGTCCAGATGTTTACATTCCAGCTCCTTCCCTGACTTCCTGCTGTGCAGTCTGCTCTCACAACTGTCTTCCCTAGGGCCAATCTATCCATTTATCAAGAAACCATTCCAAGTAGATAGGAGTAAATGCCTGCTGGCAGGTGAGTTACGGGGATAGTATTAGGGAAAGGATGGTGTCTCTGGCCTTGATGAGGCTGCAAGCAGCGGTGAACTGTGAGTTTGTGTCTTACCCATCTCAAGAAGCCAGCTGAGAGAGGGAGGACTCGGGGATGAGTCAGACCCATTCAAGGAAGAGAACTTAAACTAGGCTGAAGAGGATAACGGAAGCAGGGCCACAGCAGAATTTCTGCATGGATTCACACGGTGGGAATGGGAGCTGAGATTCTGAAGAAAAGGGACCATATGGCACAAGTGCTCTGGTCTGGAGATGGGAGTCACCATGGTGGTCATGACACAGTGATGGAGAGGACCTTTTGGTGCCTCTTGGACTGACGCCTCACTCAAACCAGAATACTTGTTTTTCCTTTAGTCGTCCTGGGAATTGAACTTGGGACCTTGTAAGTCTAGGCATCCTACCAGTGAGCTACACCCCCAGTTCTCTTTCTATTTCAAGGCAGTTTTACTAGTTCCAGGTTGGTCCCAGACTCACTTTGTATGCTGTCTTTGAACTGTGATCTTCCTACTTGGCCTCCCAAGGGCCTGGATTATATAAGGGCCTTGTTCTGCAGTGGGTCCCTCCAAGATTAAAGGGTTGCGCTTTGTTGGTATTCACACTGGGTCTGTGGGTTCCCTGTGAGGGACGAGTAAACATGTATTCACACCTCCCAGGGACAGTGTCACACAACAGGCCTGCACCACCTGGCACAGCTTGGGATCTCATCGCTAAATATCCTGGCTTCCGTAACATTGTTACTAGGTTTCCTGTATCCAACCCCTGCCTTTTCCACACATGCACAGCATGGAAAGAAAGAAAGAGCGAGATGTGTGGGTGCCCTGACCCCATGACTTGCTTTCAGTCAGACACTCCCCCCCCTGCACTGGAGTGATGGCTCAGGGGTAAGCATGCTGGCACATAGGACAGATGACCCAAGCAAACGCTGGAGGTGGCAGCATGCGTCTCATTCATACAAGACACTGACAGAATTGCTTGGACGCTCACAGGCCAGCGAGGCTAGAGCACAGTGAAGCAGCGGGAACAAGAGGGACCTTGTCTCAGCGAGGTGGAAGACAGGAGCCAACTCCCAAAAGTTCCTGATTTTCACATATACTGTGGTATGCATATGCCTGTTACACACACACACACACACACACACACACCAGCAAAGGTGCATGAAGCCTCCATGAGGACTAGTGTACAGTGGTGTACAGTGGTGTATTGGTGATCAGTGCTCAGCAGTGAGCTCTCACAGACATGGGCAGCACTGACTCACAGGCTACATTGGTTTACATTGTGTGTCCATTCCCTAGACCACTCTCAACACAGCTGTACCAGAGGCAGTGTGAGGAGGGCTCAGGACAGCACTGCTGAGGGTCCTCACACTGTGACAGCCACACAGGCAAATCTTTGCAGTGCTTTGTACGCTCAAGACCTCTACAGCTTCCCTGCTGGGATCCCTAAGTCAGAATGCCACCCTCGCAGTTTACAAGCCAGCTACACCCCAACATAAGCAACGTTTCAGAACGTGCCTTTGTCTAGATCAAGGGGTTCTTAAGTTTATGAGTAACCCAGCTCTACCCAGGTCCTCAACACTTCTGGTTAAAAAAACGCCCCAACGCTGCCATCCCCCAAAAGCAAGAGCTGCTTCGGAAGGCAGGTGAGTAGAAAGAAGTGAGAATCGTCCTAGCCATATTAACTTCCAATCCCTAAAAATAATTGTTTTTGCAAGTTATAAAATGTCTTCTGCTCCTCCATCCAGAAGGGCTAAGATCCTCTCTCAGCTCCGCCTTACTACTTCCTGTCTCCTATCTGTCCTCAGTCCTCCAAAACCTCTATGGTCAACTAGCTAGTGGTTAGCTCCGCCCTCTGACTCAAAGCAAACTTAATTGTCAGAATGCGAACAAAATATCCCACAATACCCCTTGTCTCCCCAAACCCCGCACAAAGCACCCGTGTGCTACTCCTTGTGGAATATCTGCTCCGTCAGGGAAGGTGCCAGGTTTACATTCTCCCACAATCATTCAAGAGCTGGACATGGTGGAGACGCTGAAGTCCCCATTAGAAATGAGGTTCAACTCACTGACACTGGGGGCCTAGCAACCACCTTCTCCGAAGACCACTGCAAACCAGTTTCCAGACCAGGGACAAACACATCCTCCCCGGCTCAGTAAGTGAGATCCAGGGCTTCCATCACCAGCCTGAGAGCCGGGAGTGTGGGTCTCCAAGCCTGCCCCACGGAATACTCACCCTTTTAACCCGCAAACTGCGCCGTTCCGTGGAGTTTCTGACAAACAAAGACTTTCTGGCCAAGGTTGAGCTGTCACTGTCACTCCGATTTAACTGGGAACCAGAGACAAAAAGGAAAGGAGAGAATTACAAAATAACCAACAGCTAGTGGCCGTCAGAAGGGAGGCGGCTACAGAACACAACAGGAAGAGAGAGACAATGTCAACGACATCTTCTTTTCCCTTCCCTTCTGTGCTGAGGATCAAACCCAGGGCCACTCTGGGGAACTGGTCAACTGCAGAGCCACAGCCACAGCCCAGGAGCTGTATTTCTATGAAATCTTTCATAAATAATTTCTTCCCTATTCTTTGGTTTTCTGAACTTAATTTTCTTAAATATCCCCAAGAGTTGCCTTTTGGTAGCCGTGTATCAAAGTCTGGATGTAAAGGTTTTACGAGGCAGCGAGTTCTGTACTTGTAGCTAACCGCGGTTTGTTTCTCTAAGGACAGCGCTGAGAGCCTGTGCTGTTGGAACACACACGCTCACTCCTCCCCAGCTCAGGCTCGGCTGAAGGTCACCCTATCAAGAAAGGCCACCCCAGCCCTGCGTCCACTCCAGCCCCCACTGCTCTTCTGTTTCCCACGGCACTGATTCCACCAATAGCAACTCACGGCTTCTTCAGCTGCTTGGTACTTAAGCTCTGAGTCATTGACAAGAACCAAAGTTGTGCAAATGAGAAGGGGGCGGAGTTTCTAGGAAGGTGCTCAATAAAGATTTTATTGCCTGGATAAATTCATAATTTTAAAAGTATCTGCCTAGCTGTATGTGATATTAAAGCCATTTACTATAGTTCACAATAATTCATCAAGTAGACTTTGGGGAAACTGACATCAATCTCACAATTTTCATCCAGGGACTATGAGTCTGATTCAGGAACGCAAGATCTTAGAACATAATCTGTGTTGTAAAATCCAACTCACATTTTCTCTTCAGCATGACTAATACAGTTAGAAATGCATATGAAACATACGAAATACATTTCTTAAGTCACTTTATGTTTCTAAACATAGGAGATCAACAGTTCTTAGCATCTAAATCCTTATACTTTAGTTCTTTGCCAAGTAAATTACATTACAGCCAGCAAGACATTGTGTGTGGGGGGGAAACAAACCCACTGAAAAGGACCCCCGGGGTATGATGTTCTACACCTGCTGTTTGTGGCCCTTAGTGTCTTCAGGCAGCGCTGCCTCTTACCCTGCAGATGTACTGGCTCCGCTCGCCTGGGGAGAAGGTTTGTGAGCGCACTATCACGCTGCTTCTCACGAAGGGATGCTGTCGGGAGCTCAGGCCGCTGCGGTCTTTGGGGCGGACCGCCATATTGCTATCCACTGCTTCTTCGGTATTGGTCTCCTTATCGACCTGCAATAAAAGCTGGAGATTCAGCAGGAGCAGGCAGGTGCGTGTCCGGTGTGTGCCGCTCTGCTAGGGCAGCGGTTGTCAGCCTTCCTGGTGCTGCCACCCTTTCATACAGTTTCTCATGTTGTGGGGACCCCAACCATCAAATTATTCCATTGCTACTTCATAACTACAATTTTGCTACTGTTAGGAATCGTAATGTAAATCTGTGATACCTGCAGGATCTGTGATATGCGACCCCCGTGGCGGGGGTCATGGCCCATATAGGCTGAGAACCACTGTTTTGGGGAGTTGAGCAAACAGCTCAAGGTAAGCAGAGACTCTTCTAGCACTGTGAGCAAGGCTGGCCCTCCAGAGCACCTTGTTTCAGAAAGGAGAGAGGAGAGGGAAACTTTCCTAAGGGAAATGTGAAGACTCCTACTTGGAAAGTAGGAGAGATGTATCATTTTTAAACACTGGTTCTCTTTGTCAGAACAAGGTATAACGATAAAAAATGATTAAGAATTCAATATAGGGGCTGGAGAGATGGCTCAGAGGTTAAGAGCATTGCCTGTTCTTCCAAAGGTCCTGAGTTCAATTCCCAGCAACCACATGGTGGCTCACAACCATCTGTAATGGGGTCTGGTGCCCTCTTCTGGCCTGCAGACATACACACAGACATAATATTGTATACATAATAAATAAATAAATATTTTTAAAAAATTCAATATAGTGGCTGGAGAGATGGCTCCACAGTTAAGAGCGCTGGCCGCTCTTGCAGGGTTCAAGGTTCACTCTCCAGCATCCACACGGCAGCTCACAACTGTCTGCCACTCCAGTTCCTGTCCTAGTCCCTCTTCTGGCCTTTGTGGGCACTGCATGCACATGGTGCACAGACAGATGCAGGCAATGCACCCATAAACATAAAATAATAAAATAAAAAACAGATGTGGAATTTGCAGTCATACTAACTGAATAATGATTGTTGTGGTGGTTTGAGTGCGTCTTTGAAAATCCAACAAAACCACAACAGAAGAAAAAGTGCAAGTGTCTCCCAACACCAACTCCACGAATAAGCAGTTATCTGTCTTTTATTTTTAGTGAGTCTTCACTCTTGCGTCTTGTGGACACGACACATCCCCATTCTGGACGTCTGGATTATAGCAGAAAATGCAGGCATACCCACCAGTCAGCCTACCTGGCACACTGCGCCTGAGAAGCCTGTAGCTAACACGTGACATGTCTGCACTCTCCACGTCTCCTTTAATATGCGACTTCCGTGTAGAGACCCTGGTTGTTTGAGCGCTCAATGTGCTAACCAAACACAGTCAACAGGCTCCACTGTCTAAGTGGTTGCCCATGCGAATACAGCAGATGCTGGTCCCTGAAACCGGCTCCAGAGAGATTTATCTCCACGCCCTTTGCTGACGTGCAGTCTCTGCATCTTGTTGGGGGATTGCCCTGGTAATGATGGCACTTGATATATTTCTTACCCAAGGGATCAAGTTGCCTGCTTCATAATCATGAATCCAAAAAAATAAATAAATAGAAGAAAGAAAGAAAAGGTTCCCTGGAACTCTCAGGTAGGCTCAGTGTACAGAGGTGTGGCTCTTTTTAAAAGGCCCTGCTGTATAGCTGAGCAGTTGGCACCTGGTATAAATGCCTGCCTCAGGCGGACACACATTCCAGTGTTAGGGCAAGTAAATGTGATTGTGGGCTGGTACCGCTGGCATGAGGCCAGGCTCTCACGGAATAAAGAGGGTGGAGCCAGCTGCTGGCATGCCTTACGCTAAGCAGTCAGGCGGTAGGAGCCTAGCAGTTTAAGATTTGGCTTGAGAAGGCTGCAGAGGCACAAAAGTCAGGTACAGTGTGTTTAATAGGTTTAGGTGCTTTAAAAAAAATAAAGAAAATGGGTATAGACATTTATAAATAGTTTAAAATAATAAAGTCTTTAAATAAAAGTAAAGTAATATAAAAAGAATAAGTCAGGTAAAGATGGAAAATGCACACGGCGTCTGGATCCTACTGGATCCAGATGAGCGAACGGCAGCTGCTGAGAAACGTTGGATTATGGACGGGGATGCTGAATTAAACCAGCCTATACGCTGGTTTAGAAATACGCTGGTTTCAAAATGGAAGTCAGGAAATGTGTTGCATTTGGGGAGAGGTTATGCCTTTGCTTCCACAGGAAACAAAAGTTACGGTTCTCTTCAAAATTAATGAAGATCATATTTGGATGAAGGAGACCTCCTGAAAATCTTGGCTACCAACTTGAAGAGAGAAACCAAGGAAGACTACAGGACAGGTGTCGTATATGCCGATCCCCCTACTATGGGAGCAGCTCTGGGACTGGGTGAGCCATGATAAATCTGGCTAGAGTCCTCCTGACTGATCAGTACAGCCATCCTTTCAAACAGATACATTTTACCTGCTCCAACATCAAGCAGTCATCTTTAGCTGACTTGAGCACACCGCCCACACATGCCATACTTGTGTTGATGCAGAAATATGTTGCCTTTAAAAGTCTGTTTTCAGAAAAACAAAAACAAAAACAAACAAAAAAAAGGGACCAGACACCAACAAAAACAAGCAGTCCAGGTGTTCCAGCCTCAAAATGCCTCTGTTGCAGTCTCCTCAAAATTTGGCATCCAGAACAACTCCAAAACATGCTAGCTGAGACGGTCCAGCTTCACAGACTACTCCAGCCAGGACTGCAGGAAAGTCTCTGCACTTTTCTTATTACACATAACCTGGACAACAAATGATGCAGCTATCTCTCCCAGAACTTGACCGTCATCTCAATTTTCTCAGGGTTCCCTAGAGATGCTGCCCCCTTCCCCCAATCCCAGACAACAGGAAGCATTCTAGAGAATACAACTCCCATATTCCCACAAGGTGGGATGAGTGGTTTTTAGTCATTCAGTGGATTATGGATGTTTGTCATCATTTAAGGGGGCTCATTACAAGTTGTTGATCATGGTCAGAAAAAAAGCCAGAGAAAGGAGATTAGATTCAGGGATCTCTTTCTGAAGGGAAAAGAGGGAGATACAGAATGATGGGATAAAAGTGTGAACTTTTGGGTCTACTTTTGAATAACCACTGGTCTCAAATATTTTACATTGGTATGAATTTTTATATATTGATTCAAGTTTATATATATATATATATTTCTACTCTTATTTAAGGTATTTTACCTATGCAGTTCATTTAAAAATGTAATGTAAAGTTCTATTCCTTAAAAGTTATTATTATAAATCATTTAGGATAATTGAGAAATCCAGGTTAGTCATCTATAACAATCAAATTTATGGCCATATTAGGTTTGTTTTCAAGGTCAAACGGAAATATATTTTAGATGGATAGATGGTCTTCAAACACTTCAAAGACCTACAGAATATGGCATTTAGAACATTTTTATAACATAAGGCTTCTCATGACAGTGAGACATGTCTGCTTCTGGCAGCGTCAATTTACTTCAAAAAAGTATGATGAGGATCAAAGAGCCGTCGTCATATAGAGTTTGCTTTCAATGTGGCAAAGCTAGAAACTGCCCTTGCCTTGACTATTGGCAGTATACTGTGAAACTGGACAAGCAGGACTGGACAAGAAAGTGACTGCTGAATTTTGCCAAGACAAGGTAGGATGGCCCTCCAAAATTCCAGCTTTATAGAAAATTCTGTCAGATATGCTAGACCTGTAGGTTGAAGATGGAGCCGCCATGTTGCAGAGGATCCCAGGGTGACTGTCTAGCAGCGGCTGCTTCTGCCATTTCTACAGTTTTGGAAATTGTTTGCTTCCTGATTATTCAGGTAGTATTATGCCCTTCTCGGGTCTCTGATGGGGTTGAAAATGAGGTAGTTATAGTTTTCCTTGTTACTGAATTCACAAAAGATATAAAGTGTATAAGGTTGAGAGACATAAAAGCTTAAACTGTTTATCTATGAAAATGTTTTGAGGTCTAAAAAGATAGTTTTAGAATGGTAATATAAGTTATGATAAAAATGTTTTGGTACAAAACTTTAAATTCAGCAAGATAAGATAGATAATATAGTTTTTTCTCCAAATATGCCAAATACAAATAAACTGGACATTATTAAAGTAATTTAACTGATAATTGTTCTTATTGTATATAGTTTTATTATGTTAAGAGTTAAAACCTTTCCTTTTAATTTAAATAAAATGGGGAAATGGAACTGAGTGATGGTGGTGCACGCCTTTAATTCCAGCATTCGGGAGGCAGAGGCAGGTGGATCTCTGTGAGTTCGAGACCAGCCTGGTCTATAGAGCTAGTTCCAGGATAGGCTCCAACACTACAGAGAAACTTTTTCAAAAAAAATAAAAAAAAAGCGGGGGGGGGGGAAATGTTATGGATGTTTGTATATTTGTACATGGTGTAAAAGTGTATTGCTGTGACTGTTTTAAAAAGCTAAACAGCCAATAACTAGGCAGGAAGATGTTATGGGGGTACTTCAGGAAACAGAGAAGACTCTGAGAAGAAGAAAGAGGGAGAAACCAGCCATTTACAAATGAGTCAGACACATAGAATGGGACAGAGGTAAAAGTCAGGTGGTAGAATGTAGAGTAATAAAAATATGGGTTAATTTAAGTTATAAGAGCTATCTAGGAACAAGTCTAAGCTATAGGCTGAGCTTTCATAATTAACAAGAAATCTCCATGTCATTATTTGGGAGCTGGCTGGCAGGCCAGAGAAAGACTCATCACACCTGTGCCTACCCAAGTCAGCATTATCGTTCAGAGAAGGTTTCTGCTGGAACTCCAGCCAGCCAAGATGGACTTCAAATTCTGCCTTCATGTTTAACACTGAAGTAAGATTTTGAAACTTGATACCACTAAGTAGCCCTGTTCTCTGATGTCTCTAAAATAGAAAAATACTTGTTTGAGACATTTGCCATGGAGCCCAGGCTGGCCTGATACTCATGAAGGTTGGGATCACAGGAATCACCACACCTGGGCCAGAAAACACTTGCTTTGCTTGTTTCTGTCGTTGTTTTGGGACGGAGCCTTGTATATCTCAGTTGGCCCTGAACTCACTACACAGCTGATGATCTTTCTACCTATCCCTCTCCTGAGTTCCAGGGGTACAGCTATGCTGGGCATCACATCCAGGGCTGTAGATACTGGACCAATTCAGCTGTGTCTCTAGCCCAGACAATCCTTTTAACAAGCACTCACGTTTAAGAGATATAAAGTAGTGAGCATTGCTTCTGCCAGATACAAAGGAAAATTAATATTCTGAGCCCATGTGAAAACTGTGAAGTGTTTTCAATGCTTTCGGTGATATTCTCATAAAAGCCTTCCATAGTCAGCTTTGGGGCTCAAATCCTGGTTTAGGAGGTACTCGAAAGAGAAGCCAAGCACCCCTTGAGTACGTGGCATCCACAGGGGTTTTGCTTTAGGAGGGTGTAGCAGGAATTACCAGGGTGGGAATTCCAGTTGGTGGCTGAGCAGGGTCTGCAGCAGGCTCGCGGTCTTTCCTACACTGGTCTTCACTTGTCTCGGGCCCAGTAGTGCAGGAACTTGGGTCTTCTGTGCGACTGTCCTTTGCCAAGTGAACTTCAGCCTCCTTTGCGGCCACAGTTTCATCAGAGGCCTCTCTGAGCATTGTTAAGCTATGGTGAAGCAAAACCAAAGAAAAATGAAAAGCCATTTCTGGTCCGGGAGGCATACTTCATGCAGTGAGCCTGGGCATGTTAATCTGAGAAGTAACAGATTCGTACAAGCCATTCAAGATGTGCTGTGACAGCTCAAAGTTCTCAACTGAGCAGATCAAGGAAAGTAAGTTCTCATTGTATGTTCCGGGAATCCAGAGTAAAATCACCAGAGTATGGCACAAAAACGTTAATTTCAATGTTGATGTTAAGTTAAAAGTATGAAATTTGATCAGGTCTCCAGATTTTCAACAGAAATATTCAAGGACCACATACAAATTTTAATTTCAGCATGTAAAAACATGATATTCACTAACTTGGCATTACTCGGTTGGTTACAGAATTAATCATGTAACAGTTAGCTATTCTTAGCTAAGACACCAGGATCAGCTACTTCTAAGCGTTCATCATCAGGCAGGCACAGACCTGTGTAAAGGGTTGTGACTGAGCTATTGGATGACGGCTCACTGCCTCATGTGCCCATTAACTAGAGCTGTGGGGTGGGTTTGGGTGGTGACAAAAACGTGACCACGTGGCTGGGAGACAGCCCAGCAGTGAATAGCATTAGCTGATCTTCCAGAGGATCCAGTTTTGGTTTCCAGCACCCAGGTAGTGACTTACAACCCTCTGTAACTCCAGATCCAGAGGGGCAGACTCCCTCTTCCGGCCTCTGAGGGTACTGCATGCATGTGGTGCACATGGATACGCAGACCATATGCATAAAATAAAAATTTCAGAAAATATTTTAGAGTAACACAACTACAATTTATACAGCGTGTATACGAGTACATTGAAGGCTATGCAACGTGGCAGCTGTGCTGAGCTTCATGTCCTAAGAATAGAAAGAAGCCTTTTCACTGACTTCTAAATGTCAAGCCTTAATTGCAATCGGTGACATATTGGCAGATTGACACAGACTAGTTATTAAATGTCTAGCCATGAAATGAGCACGAGGGAGAGCAAGCGATGACTACAGTGATCTGAGAGTCCCCAGCCCCCTTCCCAGCCTGCTAAGTACAGTCCTTGAAATGCGAGGTGAATCGTTCTTTAAAGCCTGTGGAAAGCTCTGTGCTTAAGACGCTGTGATAACCCTTTACATCCCTGGCCGGGTGCAGACGGCACCCACTGAGTGTCTCCACGCCTTTGTACATCAGTGCTGGAGCCCTTCCTTCCAAATGTCCTTGACAGCAACATTTGTGACCTTGGCCACCCTGAATTTCTAGCATGTTTCATCTCTGCATGAACACATACACCCATACAAGTATGTACACAAACATACCAACAGTAGTCCAATCACACCTAACAGTACAAGGACTGAACATAGAAACTGATTCCAATGCTCTAATATATGGAAGATACACAAAACAGAAGTATTCACTAACATTTATTTTTGGAGAAGAGTGAAAACCTGGGAAGACAGCCTTCCCATGCAGAGACAGATGATACAGGACAGGGGCATCCTTAAAAGACGATCACTGACACAGAGGAGGAGAGAAAGGATTAGGGAGGGGACAATACTGAAATGGTCACTTGGACACTCTTTTCTAAATAGCAACTCTGCCTAAGAAGCCTAAATGACACGCCTAGTCAAAAGAGAAAGGAAAAAGGCCACTTTTATTAAACTATCTATGATTTTGTAACAATGGTTCTCAACCTTCCGAATGCTGTGACCCTTCAATACAGTTCCTCATGTTGTGTTGACCCCAGCCATAACATTATTTCATTGATAATTCTTTTTTTTTTTTTGTTTTTTTTCGAGACAGGGTTTCTCTGTATGTTTGGAGCCTGTCCTGGCACTAGCTCTTGTAGACCAGGTTGGTCTCGAACTCACAGAGATCCGCCTGCCTTCATTGATAATTCTTAAGTGTAATTTTTGTACTGTTGTGAATCATAATGTAGATATCAGATATGCAGGGCATCTGATATGCGGCCCCTGTGAAAGGGTTGCTCGCCCCCCCCCAAGGCATCCTGACCCACTGCTCTATAACACGGTATCGTAGCTTTCTAAATGGATAGCGTAGATAAAAAACAAAAGCACAGGAAAGCAGTAAACATCATTACCGGAAGCAAGAATAAAAACAGGGTCGCTTTGCTGATTTTTCCTCTAACACTCTAATGACAAGGGAGAGTCTACAGCCAGCGCTCCCTGGTGTCATGTTGTTTACCATAAACTGAACTAGGAGCCTGTAAAGGCCCTGAAGACTCTGAGAAACTAAGAGCGCCCCGATCTGAGCGAGAAGGGCCATGGCTGCTTACCAGTCTCCCCCTGGGACCCGCTGTTCCCGCTGTTCTTCAGGCCTCAGCTCTCCATCCTCCTCCTCCTCTTGGGCCAGTTCTTGTTCCACAGCCAACAGCTCCGCTGAAGTTCTTGCAAGCAAGGCTGACACGGCATCCTGCAGAACAGAAACCGTGTGGCAGTTAACACCAGACACACCAACTGCGGTTCAGAAACTCCTCGTTTGCAGGCTTACATTTCCAGCTGTGAAGAGCCAGCTGGTGTCAGACTCAGTTCTCCTGCTGAGAACAAACATGAAAGCCCAACACAATGAAATAAAAAACAAACACAAACTCCCTGATGTTCAAGAGCAAGAAGACTTGACAAGGGCTGTCGGGGCTGGAGGGCTGAGGTCCAGGAGAAAGCAAAGATACAAGAGAGGTGACCATCACTACCAGTCTAAAGGCATTTAGCAACCTTGACGTGAGGCCCGCAGGCTAAAGAGATGGGCTGCCTGGACTCCGGGCCCCACAGGCCTCTGCATAAAAAGACTGCCATGGAATGCAGAGCTACTATGACAGTCCACACAGTACGGCTGGGATGGACGTCACCCAGGGTGTGTCTAGTCAGGCTTCTGCCTTTCCTAAGCTGCAGCTGTACAGAGCAAGACAGAAATAAAGCCAAACCCAGCTGCTAGCCGCCTGGACAGTAGCAGCTATTTCATGCCTCGCAGGGTTCTGGAGGGAGAAAACTTGGATTCACAATCCCCAGGTAGCAGGCGACTTTCCCATGTTGTCGTCTGCCTTCAGAAGAACCTCAGCTCATCTCCAGAAGAGTGCTTCAGCTGGAGCTTTCCAATCCCTCATCCAAACAGCCAGCGTTCCGCTAACTGCTGGTGGCGAGAAGCCAAAAGAAACAACCGACAACAGAGGCAGACCCACAAGTGATCCAGACACAGCAGCTTTTCAGAGACAGCAATCAAGCTTTTACAACTAGTATAAAGAAAAACTGATGAAATTACAGACTGTTCTTCTAGGATGAACACAAAGAGAAGCCCATTGGTGCCCTGGAATGAAGCCGCTGCCAGTTACAGAAGAGACCCCTTGCCAGCAGAGGACGGAGAAAGGGGGCGTCACAGTGTAGGAACCCTTACACTGTAGCCTGGGCCAGGGGTAATATGACATTATAGGGCCACGTCTATGAGATCATGAAAAAGGATGGGAGAGAAGTCATGACAAACAGCCACCAATGGGGACGACAACTTTGCTGAGGTGACTGGGGTCCCAGTCACTCACACACACACGCACACATGCTGCTCAGTCCCATCAAGGGAACTGTGTTCAAGGACTTTGGGCACCGATCACCCTGAGAATTGAGGGGACAGAAAACCAGGAAGCAGTCTGTACCCTTGGAACCTGACACCAGAGGCTGAGCTGAGTGCGCCGTGAGGAAAATCGCTGACCGGTCACCTAACATCCTATGCAGAGATTATTTTCAGAAGGATTACACACTAAATCCGAAAGAAAAAAAAATCCGAGCTGGGTGGCAGTGGTGCACACCTTTGATCCCAGCACTTGGGAGGCAGAGACAGGTGGATCTTAGTGAGTTCAAAGTCAACCTGGTCTACAGAGCGAGTTCCAGGACAGACTCCAAAGCTACACGGAGAAATACTGTCTTGAAATCCCACAACAAAACCAAAAAACAAACAAAGAAACAAAAATCCTCACACCCTGCAGGCAAGTAGTTCTTAAAAAGGAAAGGATGGAGCCTAACGGGAAAAATTGTCAGGCAAAGCTTCATTAGAACTGAGTGTTTCCATTCACCCAAAGATGGCGTTATGGAATTGGAAAGGTAAGTCACAGAAAGTAACAGACACACGTGAGAAATTTATTTTCCAATACTCATTTCCAGGCGTACGGACTCAGATCAAAGTATAACAAAATACAAAAGAAAATGAGTTAAAAACTAGAATATACGCTTTGCAAAAGGTAACCCCCATTTAGCGGTACGCATTTTATGCTCAGGGAAGTGACAAGGAAAGACTCAAGCTAGTGCTGTGCACACACGAAAACAGTGACAGAAGACAGCAGGAGTTTCGCCAGCTATATGTACACAAATTAATAGCAACACCACAATAAGCCCAAGTTAGGAACAACTCGGATGCTCAGCAGCAACAGAACAGATAAACTGAGATACAATAACAATGAGAGTACATGAGCTGTAACTACATAGAGTAATAAGTGAATTTCAAAAGATGCCAGACACAGGAGCAGACTTCAGTCACAACAAACTCAAAGTCACGTAGGACAGACACAAGGAATGGGGGAAGTTTCCCTTGGGAAATTGTGGTAACAGCAGGATGGGGGACAAGCGAAGATTCTGAGGTGACAGAAACGCACTGTAATTCAATGGGAGTCAGAGTTACACAGGTGTCATTGCTTTGCCATAAATTCTGACTGTTTGGGTAAGATTTATGCACTTTGTTACAAATCTCTCCATCGCCCTTTCCCTTAAAATAAACACCAGAGATAGAGATTAGAAGAGGGTAAAAAGTGAAGTAAAATTCGTGTAACGGCACTATAAACTAGGCAAGACTAACAAGCGTCCGTAGAACATTCTCAACAAGAATCTTTCTCAAGTGTACACAGGACATTCTCTAGTATATACGAGGCCATAAAAGTGGCTTCAATAAATTCAAAATGACTTAAGTCATGCTAAATGTGGCTTTTTGGTCACACTGGGATAAAATTAAGGACCAGCAACAGAAGGGAATATGAAAAATTAAGGAATATGCAGAAATTAACCTTCCCAAGCAAGCAGAAGCCTAAGGCAGTTAGTGAGAAAACTTTGAGATGAGAGAAGAGACACCTGGGATGCTCAAGTGGCGCTGTCAGGGTACTTAGGGCTGTAAGCATTTACCTTAACAAGACGAAGCATCAACCAAGAGCCCAACTTTCCACCTGAAGAACATATCCTAGAGCAAGGAGAAGAAAGCAAACGGCAGACCAAGGAGGAAACTCACGGCAAGTAAACTCTAAGTTGGTTCTTCAGAAATGCCCAAAGCATTAGCAAATCTGTAGCTGGCCTGATCAGGAGAAACAGCGGGGAGGTTTGCAATACTGAGCTTTGGCATGAACGAAGTAGGGTCTCTTGGTGTTTCAGTTATGGGCCTAGCTTTTAACAGCTCAGACTCTTATAACCTTTCAGACAGGAATTCGATTATGAGAAAATATGAGCTGTTATATATGAACAGATTAAGATGATCTTGTGAAATAAGAATGTTCCTAAAAAGGCAAAGATACCAAAACAAATTCAAGACCAACACTCTGAGAGTCAGAACAAATAAGACCTTGAATTTTGAACCAGACTTCTCACAGCTAAGGCCCATGTGGCTGCTGGACCCATCAGACTTTTAAGTAATTAGTAGCAACATTCTCCCAAATTCCTCCTAAATGGAGACAAGGAGGGACTGCTTCAGTGCCCGTTCTCTGAGGGCGGAGGAGATGGCTCAGTTGGTAAAGTGCTTGCGGCACAAACATGAGGACCTTTGTTTGACCCCCAACACCATTCAAAGTCCATGCCCACTTGTAATCCCAGCACTGGGGAAGCAAAGACAGCTTCTCCCGGCTAGCTGCTCAGCCAGCCTTGCCAAGTTGGTGAGCCCCAGTTCCAGTGAGAGAATTGTTTAAAAACAAAAACAAACCAGGATGGATCATGCCTAAAATGACTGACACCTGAGGTTGTCCTCTGGCCTCAATACACACGCACACATAGTGGATACACACACACACACACACACACACACACACATTCACATACACAGACACAGAGAGAGAGAGAGAGAGAGAGAGAGAGAGAGAGAGAGAGAGAGAGAACTACAAAGACATTATAGGAAATAGACACAAGAAAGCAATCATCGTTAAAGTATTAGCAAGCACACATATTAGGGCTTTTTTGGTTTTGTTTTTAAATCAAGTAAGATTTACCCCAGGAATGCAAGATTAATTTAGTGCCTAAAATAAAACAACAGCAGTTGAATAAAGGATGGAGAACTATATGGAAATCCAAGCAGATTAAAAAAAAAAAAGTAACTGGCAAATTCAAGAAGTCTTTAATGATAAAAACATTTAAGTACCGAAGAAAAAAAGTCTTTCTCAGTCTGATAAAGGGTATGTCTGAAAATACTTCATCATTCCATGGTGAAAACTTCCCCGTAAAATTAGGAGCCAGAGCTGGAGCCATGCTCAGTGGCTGAGAGCGCTTGCTACTCTTCCAGATCGGTGGACCTGAGTCCCTAGAATCCCTATCAAGCTGCTCACAACTCCAGGGGATCTGATGCCCTCTTCTGGCCTCCACAGGCACCGTGCACTCATGCATGCGTGATGTGGCATAAACACACAAAATCAGGAGTAAGATGTCCTTGTGTGTGTGCATTTGCACATGTGTGCAAGTGCTCATGGAGCTAAGGACAACCCTGGCTGTCATTCCTCATGAGACTTTGCTGGGTTTTGCTTTGTTTTGAGACAAGGTCTCTCCCTGGCCCCATGGCCTATGGCTTGCCAAGCAGGTGAGGCTGTCTGGCTAGGGAACTGTTGTCTCTGCCCTGTCGGTCACCTGGATTTCTTGCCTCTGTGCCTTGGCCACGACATATACCACAATACTGAAGTGAGCGGCAAGAGGGCTGGCAAGGGCTCTATCGGGCAAGCGCTGGCCCTGAAAACAAGAAGACCCGAGTTTGCATGGAATCCCACCAGTGGGAAGCTCCGGGAGACACAATTATACATTCGCGCACAAATGAAAGAAACACGACCCGCCCCCCTCTTCACAGGCTGTGTAAATAACCCAAATGGATCAGATGTCTATATGAAAGACTTTATAAAGATGACATTAGATAAATCTTTATGCCACGATGCTAGTCTTAGCTATGACGGAAACAGAACAAAAGCAGAGAAGATGAGGGTGGGGAAAAGACAAGGTGCATTCTCATCAAAGTCATAATAAGCCTTCGTACTGCTAACAAGAGAATGAAAAGACACTGTCTCTGCAATAAAATTACCTGAAAAGGGACTTGTACCAAGACAGAAATTTGAATGTGGGGGCACACACCTATGAAGCAGCACCCAGAAAAGCTGAGGCAGAAGGATAGCAGAGTTAGAGGCCAGCCTGTTCTATATAACATACTGTAGGCTAGCCTGGGCTGAGACCCTGACACACATGTTCTCTCTCTCTCTCTCTCTCTCTCTCTCTCTCTCTCTCTCTCTCTCTCTCTCACACACACACACACACACACGCACACACACACACACTTTCTGCACACATACACATTTTATAATTTAATAGTAAAAAGGCAACTACTCTATATATTTTGAGGATAATTACTATGCGTCCTGGCAAGTGCAGCCTACACATGTCCCCACGGACACTGGGGAGCAGTTTTCATGGCAGCCCCATTCACAGGAATCCAGATGTAGAAAGCCCTCAGTGCACATCGGTGGAGGAGGGGGAAGCCAACTGGGAGGCGTGCAGCGATTCACTAACACTGCCCCCGACAGGCGGCCTCGACACTACTCAGCCGAGTGCGGGCAGTGGGTTGGAGGAGAGCAAACCTCGCGTTTCTTCCGTTATGAAATGCCCAGAATGAGCAAACCTCCAGAGCAGGGAGAAGGGCCAGAGACACCACAGGTAAAGGGGCTTCTCCTGGGACCATGACAATACTACTCTACTCAAGCCTCTGGGGAAGGGGGTTGGCGGAGTCCAGCTTTAACCTTAGCACTCAGGAGGCAGAGGCAGGTGGATCTCTGTGAGTTCGAGGTCTACAAAGCAAGCTCCAGGACAGTCAAGGCTGTTACATAGTGAAACCCTGTCCGGCAAAACCAAAACCCAAAGCCTCAAATACTCTCTTTATTTGTAGAGGTATAATGCAGGTCCCATTTGAATCTACCCTGGAAAGGATTCTTCTTAGGCTGCTGGGAGCAGAGAGGGGCGAAGAAAGGAGGAAGAACAACTCATGAGTGACAGCAGGCCCGCTGGCCTCCACAGCGGGCGCCCACACTGTAGTTCTGCCTCTCAGCCGTGCTGCGCTGCCTTCCAGGGTGACTCACCAGGTCTATAGGACCCAGGCCCGGCTCCTCTGAGTGGACCACAGGCGCCCCCTTTTCTTCTTCGTTCTTTTCGCAAGGCATTTGCTTGGAAGGAAGTAAATTATACCACAGCATGAAGATCTCATTGGAAAACGGTAGATCTGCCAGGCTGATCTGAGTCCCAGCCTGCGGAAAAATGGAAGAAATAAAGGGAGAGAAATGAAACATGTCCATTTGCCTTTGTTCTCTCTGGTAAGACAAAGCATGACCGGGCGAGCTTGCCTTAAAGTAGATGCGACACACGACTGGTGACATAAAGCATGGGCTGTGCATTTGTGTACGTCTGGGTGCAAGTATGTGTGTGTGTGTGTGTGTGCACGTGTACACGCACACATGCACCTGTGTTTGTGCTCCTGTGCATGCTTGAGTGTGCGTGCGTGCACTTTCGTGTGTGTACACACCTATGTGCAGTAGACGCGGGATGACTGTGATAGTTCCCTCAATTTCTTCTCCACTGTTGTTTATTTATTTGCAAGAGACAGGGTCTCTCGCTGAACCTGGAGTCACGGTCCTAGGATCCCCCAGCCTCTACCTGCCAGTGTCAGGCTGAAGGCATGCATCACGCATGTGCTGTGATCTGGACCCGGATCCTCAGGCTCTCGGCCCACGGGGCTGGCCATCTGCCCTGTGCAGGACCGGTGGGTTTTTTAAAAACCTGGGCATATTGATATCTTTAGCTATGACTCAATTAAGAACTAATGCCCAATCAAACTAGCAATCCTGGGATTATTCTGTAATACTAAACTTTCCCAACTAATTTCCTCAGTGAGTAAGCACATAACTCTTTCTAAATGTGGAATTATATTTCAATGGAATTCAAAAAATAAATGAAGAAATGACTAAGTAGAAACCAAAGTGCTTCCTTTAATATGTCAGAAGAGGGGCTTGGTTATGACAACACATTCACTATTGACAAACTGAGACTGCCTTGCTCTTGAATGAGTATGTACCAAGGGCTTGTTTTTAATCCGTCAGTTACCAGACTGAAAAAAAAAAAGTAATGATAAAAGCAACTTCAGAGCCTCATGTAGCCACAGTGAGAGTCAATCTTGGCTCCACTGCTTCCGAGAGGTACCGAGGAACACATTACATATTTAGTAATCTTGCTGGAGCCTTTGACACAGAGCAAGCAAGCATGGTGGTCACAGTACTGACGCCTGTCTGAGGCCGACAGGACGATCTTGGTGCCATTCTAATTGTATTATAAGACAGTATTTCTCTCTTTTCTTCAAAATATGGGAGAAAAGGGAAACTACCATCCTTTTCCTGTGGTCATCATTAAATATGAGTTTGTCTCCTACTGGACCAGAAAGACACGGCTGGTCTGACCACGTGGGCTCCTGTCTGGTTGCCTGCACCTGAGCAGGCCATCTAGGGGGAGACGGAAGCCCAACTGTGCAGGACAGCACGCTAAACGCACAGTTTCTGTCCCTGATCCCATTTAGTCACATGCTTCAAGCAGTAGTGATCCTGTGGCTGACCTAATGCGGTGGAGAGGCAAATGGGCTGAGCACAGGAACCACACTCAGGGTCTTGCTTAGTTCAGTTTGGGTCAGTGACGCGATGGGATGATTATGGATCCCCAGCTCCATCGTTGGCAAGAGCACCCCACTTTGGTAGCTGTTCATCCCCAAACGGAGGGAATCAAGTTTCTTTTCTTTTTTTAAAGGCCTTTATTATTTATACAGTGTGCTGTCTGCGTGTTTTGTCTGCAAGTCAGAAGAGGGTATCAGACCTCATCATAGATGGTTATGAGCCACCATGTGGTTGCTGGGAATTGAACTCGGGACCTCGGGAAGAGGGGTCAATCCTCTTAACCTTCGAGCCATCTCTCTAGCCAAGGAATCCCATTTTCTACCATCAGACTTCTGTGATACTGTTCCAGGTTTTAAACCTTCAAGGAGCTTTATATAGGAAGCACTCCACATCCACGGTTAGCATTGGGAGCTGCAAGCCCCATCCACAGAGATAGACGTGGCAGAGGCAAAGTTCTCCCATACTCAAAGAACAGGACTGGAAAGTCAAGCTTTATGGAACCTTATGACTTATAAGCAGATTTTAAAAATCTGGAATGGGAGAAAAATATTTTAGAAAAAAAGAAAACCAGGGCTGGTGAGATGATTGAGTGGGTAAAGGTACTGGCGACTTGTATTTTAACCTCCATGGTGACAGGAGAGAACTAAGTCCCCGAGTTACCCTTTCACCTTCACGTGCGTGCCTTGGCATGTGAACACAGCCGTAGTCAGATAAATAAATAAATGTTAAAAGGAAAACCTCAGTAGCTGTTGCTGGCAGAGCCGTAATAAGACAGTGTTCTCTGAGGGCGATAGGAAGGCGCCTACCAGGCATTCTTCCCTGCGGTGTTTACTGACAGAGCAAAGATCCACTCTCAGGGTCTTCTGCTGCAGGGCCGCCTGAGAGATGGCCACCCTGAACACATCATTGTACAGCACGGATTCATTGGGTGGATGGACTTTTGTTCGAAATAGGCAGCTCACATCCGCCGAGGAGGGAAGCACAGCAACCCTAAAATACCTGCGAAGAACAAGAACGGAATGAATCTCCTGGGCGCTTCGGTTACCGTGGGTCCGCCCGCAGCTGTCATCTGCAATTAGCCGCCAGAGAGAGAAAATGAGGAAACACGGCGAGCATTATCAGATCAAAGTGCCCGGCCATAGTGCGGCCATGCGCAGCTGCAGACATTCTGTTCTTATTCACCCGTGCCCGCTGGGCCCCCAAACACCAAAGATCCAGCCTGTCATCACCATGAGACTACAGCAAAGGCGTGGTGGGGAGCGAGGGGGAAGAGTCTCAGGGCTGACACCCCCCCCCCACATCAACTTATAAGTAAGTTGTTTCTGAGGTGGGGAGGTGGGAACATGCTAAGGCGGGCACTGGTGGGTTTCTCTCCAAGAACCCTCATCCTGATCATCAAACAAGAGATTGTTGACGAACAAGCCGAGGAGCGGAATATATTACCCTACCAGAGACAAAGAGAGGCTAAGGAGCATATTGTTAACAGGATGGAAAACAGATGCAGCCGCAGCTCCAAAATACTATTGTCTAGCATCTCCGGAGGGGGGGTGCAGCCGCAGAGGGACCTCATGCTGCGCGAACGCAAAGGCAAGAGTGTGAAGCACAGGGACACCATACCCCCTGCTCCTCTGGGAGTTCTCTGACAATCTAAAGACTCACGGATCAGGAAGCAGCCTGAGGGAGTTTCCTCCTAATTCAGAGAGAGAAATCCACTAAATCTCCCCACATCCCATTCCCACTCTCGTCTAATTGATAGTCTAAAATATGCCCCTCTTTTTCTAGTTAGAGAAATCTGTAAATTCAGACCCAAAACATTTAGTTCACGTTATTTTTATGTCAACACTGACGACAAAGATTCAGCACTAAACTCCAGGGGCAGCTGATGAAAAGTTCGGCTACCCCCCTCATGGCTGCAAGCTCAGGAGAAACGAATCTTTCTTCCTTCTGCCTTCATGTTAGAGAGGGCAATGGAAGGAAGTGGTGGTGTCTGTCCCTTCAGCCTTCAGGTCTCAGCTATTCTATACCCACCATCTAAGTGTCTGGTGCATCTCAAGATGCTTCCACAGCGACAGGGCTCAGCTGATGAGGTCCAGAAGCGGAGGCAGGGACTGAAGAGATGCCTCAGTGACTAAGAGCAGGGACTGCTTTTTCCAGAGGACCTGGGTTCAGTTCCTAGTACCCACATGGCAGCTCACAACCATCTGTGACTCCAGTTCCAGGAACTCAAAGCCCTCTTCTGGCCTCTGTGTGTACCAGGTATGCATGTGGTAGACAGACATACGTGTAGGCAAAATACCCCTATACATAAAATCAAAATGAATATTAAGAAGAAAGAGAAGGAGGGAAAGGAGGAGAAAGAGGAAAGGGAAGAAGAGGAAGAGAAGGAGGGAGAGGAGGAAGACAGGAAGAGGAGGGAAAGGGAGAGGAGGAAGAGGAGGTGGAAGAGAAGGAAGAGGAGGAGAGAAAGCAAAGGAACTACAGATAAGGGTACTTTGCTGCCCACTCTGCTACAAGAGAGACCTCTCCGACCAGAGCCAGGCAAGCTGTCACCAACTACCTGAACACCAGCTTTAATTTGTCATAATTAGTGTCAAAAAGAAGTTTTAGAGCCAGGCATGGTAGTCCATAGCCTTGGTCTAGCACCTGGAAGGTGGAGACAGGAGGATCAGGTGTTTGAGGCTAGCTCAGAATATATGAGAACTTGTCTCAAAAACCTAAAACTGCTTTCCTTTAGAGATGAATAGTGCGTGCATGTGCGCGCACACATACACACACACACACTATCCATTCTTGTGTTGATGAACAACTAGGACTAACTATTCAGCTCTAAAGAAAAATGAAATCACAAAAATTTCAGGAAAATGGATGGGCTTAGAAATACAGTGTTAAGCAAGGTCCCACAATCTCAGAAAGAAAGAAAAACCCACAGGCTCTCAGTCATGTGGAATCTAACCAGTAATACATGCATATATACAAACGAATGTACCTGTGGGCATAGGTTACCAGGTAGAAAAGCACACGAGAAAGGCTCGGTAGTAAGGGGAGAGGAAGGATTGAATATGGGCAAGGAACATGGCTCATGAGAGAGGACGTGTAAGTTCTAACTCCATTACAGATTTTTCATTTTTGTTGGTGGCTAAGAACATAAATATATCTTCAATACGGAAAGTATAAAATCCAGTGTGAAGGCTCCACGGCTCCTGTTCTGTGTGGCTTCTCTAACCGCATACAAGTTCATTGAGTTATACGGTCTCTGGGTCTGGCAAATTTTGATTGGTGATGTTTTTTATTTGTAACTTTTTAAATAATGAAGTTTAAATTAAAAGAAACAAAAAGAAAGGAAGGAAAAAAGAAAGAAAGGAAGGAAGGAAGGAAGGAAGGAAGGAAGGAAGGAAGAAAGAAAGAAAGAAAGAAAGAAAGAAGGAAAGAAAGATACTTTTGGCCGTGTCATTATTCAGGCTTACATATGACTTTAAGAAAACGCTGCTACAGTGCTCGCTTCGGCAGCACATAGACTAAAATTGGAACGATAGAGAGAAGATCAGCATGGTCCCTGCGTAAGGATGACATGCAAATTCGTGAAGCGTTCCATATTTTTTTTTTAAAAAAAAGAAAACGCTGCTACATCTCAGGAAGTTCAGACCAAGTAGACAAGTGACTGGGGAGCAGAAGTCTATGCTACACCACCAGCTGGCTCCTGCCTTACCCTGGGGCCGCCATGCCTCATGAAGGGCCTAGGATGATGGCTGTGTAGACAAGATAGAACACTTGTATGTAAGAAAAAGGCATGGCGTCTGGAGAGATGGCTCAGTGGTTCAAGTATTCGCTGCTCTACCAGAGGATTCAGGTTAGGGTCCCACACCCACATGGCTGCTTACAGCATCAGTTCTGGAGGATCTGATGCCCGCTTCTGGCCTCCATGGGCAGCACAGACTGCACACGGTACACAAACATCTTCTTAGAGTCACTGAGACCCCAGCTCTAGAGGAGACTGGCGGGATGGAGCCGAGAAAACAGCTCTCTCAGGAAGTAGCCCTGAGACAATGGGTGGTGGAGATTACATCAGCACTTGGTTGGAGTTCTTGGTCTAACACGGTGATGGGACTGCAGCTGAGCAATCACTGGTCACTGGAAGTGACCACGGATGGTGAAGACACGCTGCTTCATGCAACACAGACTGTTTCTGTGGCGAGGCTTCATGTAATCACTACACAGCCAGGGGTGACATCAAAAAAATCTCTCCAAACTGACATTAGCCACGACTATGCCATAATAAAAATTGAAATCATATTTCCAGCAATCAGGTCCCAACACAGCTCTGTCAAGGAAAGGAACTATATATATAGTTTTGATTCCTAACCATATCTTAACCATAGCCATCGGGATAAGAGCTAATCCTAGTTCCCTTTGCCCACATTTCCCTCCTCATCTTTACCTACGGTTGCTTCAGATGCAATCAGCCTGGCTATTTCTCCCCATAGCCTTCGTTTTTTGTTTTGTTTTTAAAAAAATCTATTTTGTTTTTAACTATGTGTATCTGTGTATATCCATGTGCTGGTATCTGCAGAGGCCAGAAGAGGGCGTTGGTGCCCTGGAACTGTAGTTAGGGGTGGTTGGACGCTGTCCTATGTGGGTCCCCTGGAAGAGCAGCAGGCCCGCTTACCTGCCACGCCATCTCTCCGGTCGCCCGCCCTCCCGCCATATCTTCATCTTGATGAACTGTTTGCTCAAATGCAGAATTATTGTGGGAAGAAAGTTTTAAGCTCCCCAATTTGTTTTTGTTGTTGCTGTTTTTTTCTGACTTAACTTACACTTTTGAAGAATGAGGTATAAGGAAGGCGTGGAGATTTCGGAGCTGTGCTATAAACACCATGAAACTTGAGCTTTTTGTGTCGTATCTGTCAAAAGAGACAAAGAGTCAAGCAGAGTAACCACGGCCACTGGCCAGGCCCCTCCCCCACCCTCCCCGGCTCACCTGAGTCCTATCTGCACCTGGGCAGTCTCCACAACGGTGACGTCCTCTTCACTGTAGGGCGTGTCCTCCACTTCACCAGGCCTAGGCGAGAGCAGGCGGACAGTCAGTGAAGTGGATTTTGCCTTCTCTCATTTTCAAGGGTCACATTAGCGGCCCTCCCATCCCACTTCCGTGGAACTGATTCCCGTGGAAGCTTCCTCAACTCCATCAAAAATCTCACTTTGAGCTTAGGGAACAAATTTTGCGATGCCTGGCTTTCCTGAGACCCAGGAGGCATATCTCAGGGGCTTCCAGACATGTGTTTAAACAGGCATTCCATGTGTAAAACAAGCATTAGCCAATCACCAAGATTCTCAGAAAAAGCAGGGTCTGAAACCTCAGGTCAGTCGCCTCTGAGTACAGCAATCTGCTTGTCATTTCCACAGCTGGCAGGATGCTTCTTGTAGGGGACCACACCTTACAGTATGCACAAGCCTGGCTGGCAGGCATCAAGGGCCTTACTGTTTCATGGAGGCTTCGTAGACACCACTGTCTCCAGCCACGGACTCGTCAGAGGCAGCGGCTGACACACGCGCAGTTTTGTCTCCACGCAGATGGAGTCCTCTCTTGGGCAATGACTTTTCCACATCTAAGGTGGAGAAAGCGACAGCACCATTGGTTTCTTATGGGGAAAAGCATAAAATGCACCACAGAAGCCCAAAGTACAACTTTCTTCTTAAAGCGGACTATTGCTCCCCATATTACTAGATGGGGTGAGACCGGATGCTGGGATTCACACGGTCTGGGATTTGGTTACTTGGGAAAAAACTGTTTCTGCTTCTGCCGAAAAAAATTTTTTTAAGCTTTTTTAAATGTATGGAATGTTTTGCCTACATTTATATAAAGGCACCATGTGTATGCAGTACTCATGGAAGCCAGAAGATGGCGTTGGATCCCCAGGTCTGCAGTTGTGAGCCACCTGGGAACTGAACTCCAGTTCTCTGCAAGAGCATCAAGTGCTCTACCATGTCCCCCCTCCATTAAAAACAATAAAAAATACAGAGGTTTATGGTGTATGTGTGTGTGAGTGTGTGTGTGTGATGGACGTGTGGAGGTCAGAGGACAGCTCTCTCCTTCCATCGTGTGGGATGGAATTCAGGTGGTCAGTCTTGGATGCAATCCACTGGCCCATCTCACAGGTCCTTGCTGGAAAATATTTTAAGGCAAGAGACACACAACTTCCCATTATCCCCAGCTTCTTGTCTTAAGCATCCATGAGCCACCACAAACTCTGGCTAAGCAGCCATGTGCCCTCATCAAACACTACATGCCGCTCTCTCCTTCTCCTGCCCTGCTCTCCTAACAAATGAAAGAGAAAACATCTTTGATTACATGAATTCTCACCAGCTACTACCACTAAAACAACAGCAACAACAGAAACTGAAAAACTTTTTTGCGTGTTACTTAATCTTTAGCACCAGCTGCCAGTTCACTTTTATCTCTACCTCATATTCCTCTGCCAGCATCCTGCAGGGAGCGAGGCGCAGTCACTTAAAGCTGTCCTCTGTACTGCGGTAAGCTGCGAGCCCTGAGTCTCATTCATCCTCCTGCTAGTGAGCCCGAGGAGCGGTATTGGTATGCATTTGGGCCCCCCTCTGAGCCGTGACTTTACATCCAGTTAAGATGTTTAAGTTTTAAGGCTTCAGATTACAGGATTGATTGCTGCATTTTCTCTTCCATTTCTGGCAGTGGGAATGCTGTTTCCTTGATGATGAAGGGCCTTCTCTTTGCCCACCCCCTTTGTGAGGGGTGAAGGTGATGACATGATTTATTGATTACCCCCGGGAATAAGCGCAGCAGTCTGAAAACTGACTTTGACAATGACAGAGACTGACTGTGGGGAGACTTCAGAGTTATTCCACCTTGGTTTCTGTCATCTGGCAGGGACTGATGCTGGCCCGGGAGAGCAAGTGGTCTACAGAACGAACTGGGCTTCACCCGTGAACACGAACAGTGTCCTTCCAAGAGCGCCCCCTCCCTTTAAGAGGCCGGAAGACGTTGCAGGGGCCTGACTAGTCTTGTTGGTTAAGACACGCACCTTCTGCTGTTTTCAGACAGGAAACTGAAAGCTAACTGCAGACAAAGCCCTTGTGTGCATTTTCCCCAAGCGGCTGTCGTGAGGTACTGGAGACGGAACCCAAGGCTTCAGAGGTCCTAGGCAAGCACTCTGCCACTGGGCCACGGCCAGGTCTAGGGCGCCTTTAACAGCAGTGCTGTGTAACACTTAAAAGGTTAAAAAATGGTTTTGTGGGAATTTCCTTCAGGCACCTGTCTCCAGCCACAATGTCATCAACACAGGTGCTAGCAAACTCAGGCATTAGGAACTGGGCAGCCATGTAACTGGAGGGTGGCGGGGGGGGGGGGGGGGGGGG